CGAACGCTGCTGAGTGGAGAATGAGGCAGTCACGTGAAGCGGATCAAGCGCAGCGGATCAAGAACGGTGTCTCCAGCTTCTGTCTAACGGCAACTGTGTCCTCTAAGATTCAAGCACATGTAACTGATACGGCCAAGCAGCTTCCTTCCACCGAGTAGGCTTCTGTTATAGACGGTCGCCTCCCAGACGTGGAGACGGTCGCTCCCAGACGTGGAGACGGTCGCCTCCCAGACGTGGAGACGGTCGCCTCCCAGACGTGGAGACGTCGCCTCCCAGACGTGGAGACGGTCGCCTCCCAGACGTGGAGACGGTCGCCTCCCAGACGTGGAGACGTCGCCTCCCAGACGCGCGGAGATTGAACTTGAACGGAACGCCAAAATAATAGCCCACCGGCGTTCTCACCGTTACCGTAAAGTATCCTGCCGCCATTAGATGCGCAACTGGATCAATCCAGCGTCTTCCAGGCACCCATCGCTGCATTCCTCATCGGTTCTGCCGTCTCGCCGGCTTTGTACACCTTCTTGCACAACTCTGGCGGCGATCGAATCGTGGCGAAATCAAATGCAGAAATTGCTCTGTCGTGCTTGCACGTCATCTGACGCGGACACGACTTCACAAACGTAGTTTGACCCACGTGGTCACTTGGCTGGTGAAAGTTCCTTCAAGTTGTTGAGAGGACTATTCTCACGAAAGGAGGTTCACTCGCGTACCCATTCTCTTGCATTTCTACATCGCCCCTTTGGTTGAAGTTTCCTTTTCCCCACAGGAGACTCCGCGTGGCAGCGAGCAAATTAGGTCTCAGGCGGGAGGCAGAATTACTAAGGACAGAAACGAAGTCCAGCTGCTCAAGAGACCCCTGTCATGGGTCTCTCGGATTCCAGGGGTCGTCCATGGCTTGTCGAACCTTATTTCAGTATCATGCCATCAATGTATAGTATGGTCGACCTGTGCAGTGTAAATGGTCATTCAGTCGGTGGCGTACCAACAAACACATCTTTTTGAGCCACTGACAATCCTAGCGGTCGCCTGAAGCGCAATCACACTGCCAGACCCCTCCCAAAAAAAACGCTGGGGACGGGGAGCATCGTGCTGATACCTGATAGGTGCCGTGTGGCACGCACTTTCACGCAGGAATCGTTTGCTGGCGCTGCTTCAAATTAGATTCCACCCAAATTCTTTACCACCGCCTGCGGGGCTCGAACCCGCGACTGCAGGATTAAAAGTCCTGCGCTCTACCAACTGAGCTAAAGCGGCAATGATGTAGTGTATTGTGAACTACCGACTCTGGAGCGACCGGGGATCGTCGGGTGTAGACGAGACGACGCCATTCGCACACATCACGGCAACTATTAATTTAATTTTTACTCAGAGTAAAATCTAATTCGGTATTTGTACCCATGAGTAACCCAGCGAGTAACCACGATAACGACTGTGAAACCACACACCGACAGATCCTAACTCAGGTCCGTCAGCTTTGTGACCAGGTCATGGTTACTAATGGTAACGATGTGGGATGGGGAAAGAAATGGGCTCGACCTTAACCAACCTGTCACCGCCACTGCGCTGCCCTGATGTACACTGCTGGGATAGACGAGCCCACTAAATCTCTTTTGCTGCGTCCGTTTCCATCCCAATCGCTTTCGCCTGCGCCACCTGCGTTGGTTTTTTCGATCTTCCATGTTTGTCCGGAAACAGACAGAACTTCTGGTAATATGATATTCAGCGAAAGGGTTGGTTGGTTGTGATGGTCCCCACTTGAGAATGCACGTAGTGTGTCCCTCATAAGTTAGTGCCACGAAGTTCGACAAGCATCGATGTGGACCAGACATCTCTTTCCCAGAGAATCTCCAAGCAACTTCATTACCACGGAAGCGGGTGGCTGACGCGAACTGACCGCTCAATGATCAGTGAGTATGCCATGGCCATGGCGATCAGCGGGCCTCCGTCACAACGGAGCCTCCCCCCCATTTGTAGGGGTGAACGTCAGCTCTACGAACTTGTCATCTCCCTGGCCTGAGAAAACAGTGGCCAACATACATAAGCCAAGATCGAAGATTCAAGACAGTAACGGTGATTCGAAGACACAATACCCAGAGAAAAGAGACGGAGAGGTTCGAGAGTCCCGGGGGAAAAGCGAGTAGGGCGGAAATATTAACGGCCCTGCTGAGGCTTGTTACGGCGGATTTTCTCTTACTGTGGATTCCTGGGATTGTTCCAAGGAGACTGCGCTGCGAGAGAACCCGCTCGTTTACCTCTCCCCACAGCCACTGTAGGAGCCATAAACCAGGGGTCTCTCTAGCAGTGCAGCCTCCTTAATCAATCGGGACTTCCGGCACCGACTTCTGTAAAGCGGTGTGACTTGTAAGAGTTAGCGTATTCTGCGCCAGAACAACAACAAGGCGGCTTGGTCGAAGACCGTACTGGTATCTATTACTAGTCTCGGAGAGGCGCCACTCAGCCATAGACCTCGTTCGAAGATGATATGGTGACTGCGCGGATCTTTGACACCTAGATTTGGACGGGGAGAACCATGCCATCCCCGACTTAGTCAGCTGATACCATCAGTGAGTTATCCGTGGAAGGTTGGACGTACGATGTGTGGTTCCCCGTCATTTGCATATCTGTGGCTCCGAAGTTGTAACCTCTGGAACCTCCATGGAGGACCTTTGAACTTGTTACGAAGCCCTCCTGACCGCACAGTTACTCATGACCGCACAGTTACTCATGACCGCACAGTTACTCATGACCGCACAGTTACTCATGACCGCACAGTTACTCATGACCGCACAGTTACTCATGACCGCACAGTTACTCATGACCGCGCATGACTCTGTTGGGCAACCCGATCATTAGTGCGCGTTGTATCACTTTAAAGGACGCGTCTCGGTTCCGGCTAGCCTAGCCATCGTCACAGACGACTCTTGTCAAAAAAGCCACTGACTAAACCCGTATTCAGCGAAAGGTTGAACGTACCCTAAATGTCGCGGCAGCACGCGAAGACTCGACTTACAATCTAACACCATCTACCGGCGAAAATGCGTCTCGTCAGCGAGGGTGGCTATCCTCCCATTTCGTTCAAGTCGATGAATCTTATCAATTAAATCTCACCACCATTTCAACCAAAAAGATGAACACTACCAGAATTATCGTCATTTCAATCTCTTGGTAATCTTACCACGTTTTTGAACAAGCCAACGAACATCCCCTCTTCTTCAGCCGACTTAGGTATACATCGTTGATACTCCAATTTTACCTCCAACTTGCTCTCGCCACAGTTCTTTGTGGTCTCTATGGCGTCTGGTATAGTGGTGCTATCCACGATCTCTCCATGCAGTTCCTTTTTACGTGCTTTCGGATGTTCGAATCGAAGGAATTCTATCCTTATCCTAGCGCAAGGTGATTCTCGTTGTTTGTTGAGGTAAGGCAGAGAAGGCAAACCGATAGTTCTTCTATGTTGAGAATTTGGGCATCACAGCGCAACGACAATTCTCGCTACGATTTGGAAAGCGCAGCTCTGGTGGTCTTCAAAAACGAGGCGAGCGGGGAAGCAATTATTTGTTCGCGTTGCGACGAAACACCTTTCTCTGCCAGATCCATCAGTCAATGAGACTCCAAAGGGACACGAGCGTTCTTCAGCCGGGCACCATTATCGCTTTTAACTTTGAAATATTGAATTAGTAATCAGAATCATATTTTCAAGGAAGAAGGGCTTCCCGTGCAAAGGCTCTTCACATATAGAAGTGGAGAGCATCGGCTAGTGGAAGGTTTCGTATTTCAAGGGGCAGCTGGGTGTTTTAAGAAGTGCCATTAAATGGGAGCTTGAGTACTGTTGACCGCAATATCCGGATACGAGACTTTCTGGGCCGTAGAGGGCTTAGCAGAGATACAGCTTGGTGCCTCACACTGGATCTTACCTCCTATGACACAACCCGGGACTTCAATGGAAATGTTCTAGTCACCATTGCCTTGGCAAATTTGAGCGGACTGTATGATGGGATTATTAAGAACAAGAAGCCCGCATTTCGTAAAAGGGGGTGGCGCGAGAGAGCATTATTGCAAAATGCGTACTTTGACTATCATAGTCCTATTGTGACTCCGTCGAGAATGCGAATAGAAAAAAATAGGCCTAATCTTTGCTCAGGAAGTTGGCAGACGTCGTGTTCTAATGGGATAGATAACTTCCTCAAGATGGCCAGTAGCCTGATTCGTGCAGGACTAATTGAGGACTTACGTGAAATTCAAGAGAAGTGCTTACTTCTGATTTGCGGGGTGCACGCATATCAGATTGGTATGTTGGCCCCCTCCACTGTCAGGGCAAGTTTTGCATCGACAGAGATATGTGCAGACGGGGCCGTGACAAATTATCGGCCTCCAGAGGAAGTGCTTGGCAGGGCGCTTTTAATGCTTAAACAGTATACAGGAAAGAAGCTTAAAGAAAGAACACTCGCAACCTTAGGCGCAGCAGCCATGCTTTACCCAAATGTACAGAGCTACTTAGATGCTTTTGAGCTGGTCCAACGCACTTTACAAGGTGAGAAACCGGATTTTGGGCTTCTTGATAGAGGCCTTATCTGGAGGTTCTACAGTACCCTTGAGAACTTTGAGGACTCCGTCCTTGACTATGTGTCAGCCTGTCATGAGCGTATGCGAACGGCAGGGGTGATAGTGGAATATCAGAACGATGGGCCCTTCCAGCGTATTAAATTTGATGAAGGATGGTTCCGTGATAGCCTGTTTGCCCTGCGCAAGAATAGTACATACGGAGTGGTAGCCCCCGAGCTCTATGATATCGCCCGGAGGGGGATGATTGAGATAGTGCTGGGTGATGTGCCTGAGAACGAAATAAGCAGAATCTTCCAGGTTCAAAAGACTTCGAAAAGCTAAAGGAGTCTACTGTGTCAGCCCCAGCGACCTACCGGAAGTAAAGCCTGGGGATGACGATCTACGAATTATGGGATGCATTCTGACCTCCGGATGCAATCATTAACAAAAATAAGGAAAACCCCTTCATGTTCTATGAAAGAGTAGGATTTGAAGGGGATGGAGAGCTCATGTCCGTTTGTTAGAGGGTGTGAAACCCGCTGGTTAGAGCATAAACCAAGACAGGGAACTTGTCTGCTTAATCAAAGCTGGTTTTGACTTAAAAAAAAAAGAAAAAAAAGAAAAAAAAAGTTGCACCGGACTACATCCCAGAATGATTCCCTATCCGCTGGCGCCTCGAAAAAATAAAACATGACGACAGCTGCTGGATTCGAATCAACACCCATAGAGTCCAATAGATTTACAGCGGATATCCATAGCGCCACAAAAATATCTCCAGTGTTAGCCGTCACCGGCAGAGAGCCAATGCTACCCGGATGGTAAGAAGAGGGATCTGGATCCATGGGAGAAGGACTCATCGTAACTAACCTACTCGACGCGGCGAGCGCCATAAAAAAACAAAAACGCGCCCTAGTGCTCACCAAACCACCGGCCGCGAAAGGCGGAGGGCCCGAAAGCAGAGTTTTGCGCGACGTCTTCATGCAGCGAAAAGGGTTAATCAAAGAATGCGAATGTGAAGCTACTCGGTGCACCTGCCCAGAAAGGTGAGAGGCTACAGCCAGAAGTACCCCGAGAGTCCTCCAGCACTAGTTGAACAGAGGTAATGAGACTCTCAGGAGGAGATCTTATCGCTAGATGACGAATTAGAGGTCCACCCCGTGATTGTTCCGTCACGAATATCGAAAGGAGCCTGTTACTCTTGTGGGATATCGAGGCCGGACTGCAAATATCCGACCCGACCTACCACAAGCTTCGGTTACGGAAAATGCACGGAGTCGAAAGAGATAGGGGCGTTTTGTTCATGCTCCCCCTTTATTGGTTCCCAAGTCAATAAAGAAACAAGACATCCTAGTTCCCAAAGAAGCACACCGCCACTAAGCAATTCCGCAAAATACTTGCTGCGTAATGGACTCGATTTACGCAGAGGGGGATTCGAACCCCCGCATGGAAACCCATAGTAGAACTTGAGTCTACCCCCTTGGACCGCTCGGGCATCTGCGCAAAAAACTGTCAATTGATTTGTTTCTGGGCTTCGTGGCTATCTGTCGAGTGAATTGTAGGCTGTGACATAGTGGAACTTGGCTGATTGATGTTGAATGAAAATTGAATGCTACTTTGCGGAATGCTAAAGTTCTGTGCTGAGACGTCCTGCGTCAGTCGAGTCGTGCGTCCAGCGTCGTTGAGTGGGGCGCTTGTGCGTCACATCAATGGGTTGAGAGCTTGCGGTCTGAGAGGCGCAGCTGGGAAAGGTCCGTCTTAACAGGTCCGCAGAATAAAATAATCATTTTGCTCTCCTATAGGAGAAGGTGCAACCCAGGCAGAGTCTGCCGTACTGGGAACCAGGTGGTCTGGGTGGAGTCCCGCCAGATGTATGAGCGCAGCGTGGCATTCGGAAGATGCCGCAGTTGAACTGCGTGGATGTGCGGCGATTCCAAACGGGAGCGGTCCTCCGTGCCGTCAAATCGGAGGCGACCCCGCTTGGGGAACGACCTGCGGGTGGCCTTTCCCATTTGGGGCAGTTGGAACATGCCCGTGAAGACACCGTGCTAAGCGGGACGGGGGGGGGTTTAAATCAGAAAGCGGGGGCTATGTGTTGGTCCCCGTTCGAATATCATGATTGCCACGCGACTGTCACACACGTCAGCCCGGTTTGTACGGTGGTCACCGGAGAGACTTGTGAGGAAAGTTGGCTGGTATCGGCTTGGAGGGACGAAGGGTACGAAAAAAAGGGCTGTGATCGTGTTGTGGTCGCAACGTCAAAGAACACGTGAAATGAGAGTGCTGTTGTGTGTGGGGAAAATGTCAGCCAGTGGGAAAATGTGGGTTGATGGAAAAACAAGGCGAAGGTGTGGTTGGGGGCCAGGCTAGACACCGGCTGGGGGTCGAGACAAATTTAATAGACCGATGGAACAGGCGGTGTTCCAAGATTTTCAGAATCTGGTTACAAAAACCAATGCGACAAGGGAAGAGTTAACGTTGCTGTGCCAAGACTACCCAACGACTGTAAGAAATGTCTTGCTGAACATACTCTTAACAAATTTGTGAATACACTTTCTTGAGATGGGAGCAACTCTTGAGATGAGAGCGCCCGTTAAGGGTAAACCCCTTTGGGGTACACCCCTTTAGGATACACGCTAAAAAAACATGAGCACATGTTCGCTTTTTCCTAGCCGTCGACATGGTCGGCCGTTCATAGAGTAATGCCGCCGGAGGAAGCGCGGCCGATGTTGCGAGTCAAGGCGGAAGAGTTACGGTCCGTTGATTTGTGGTTGGACTTGGTGCGATTAGAAGCCGGATTGGGGCCTGTGGAGCGGTACGAGACTCTGAAGGCCGCGATAAAGTCGGTCGGCCACGACCCCCGGAGCGGCTTTTTGTGGGCGACGTTCTTTTCGCTGTTCGTCTCACTGCACAACGCGTTCTCGCAAGCGGCCGCTCGCCAAGAAGACGAGGATGTCGCCATGGCCCGCAGCGGCCCGCAATCAGCGGTAGCCCCTCTGGTACAGCTAGTGCCCGCGGAAATAAGCTATTCAGAAAGACACGCAAGTTCAATCGGCGACCAGAACATTAACCAGTATGTCCACCTACCCCCCGCTTCGCGTTGCCACGGTTATGATTTGTAGGTTTTTTACGTCGTCGGGACCAAGTGCGGGGTCGTCTAGTTCGTTGTTGAAGTCTCCATTGAGCATGATGGTGCCGGAGTTGGATGTGTCTCAGTGTGTAGATCTTCTGGCTTCATTAAGTTCGTTGACAGGAGATCTGAACGTGCCGGAGTATTGTGTGTACCTGCGGCAATTGTGCATGACACCGGTGCAAGATGTGCACGTAAAGGGTGTGCGGCAAATGCTGTCTGCGTTAGCGCCAGAGGCGGTGGTGGAGCCGGCGTGCAGTGCGGTACAGAAGGCGGACCTTAAGACGTACCCGTTGGCGTTATTTACGCGTCCGGTATCGGCAGTTATACCTGCTTTGGAGGTGGGGTCAATTTCCGGCTGGCTACGGATTCTCCAACTGGAGATGGATGATTGGTTGAGCATTAAGCGTACCGACCACGGTTGGTACCAAGCGCGACTTGGTTTCTTCTTCGACGTCGCTCTCCGCCAGTGCGGTCATGTACCAGACATTTTCTTCCTCAAGGCTCAGATGCTCTTCCGCGAAGATCAACTCGAACAGGCACTGCACACGCTTAGCACACTACCACTCGCCGCCCGACGCGTGGAGCTCGCCTTCGTTGTAGCAGATGCCTACGACCTCCTCCTTCGCGACGTACAGGCCGCTGTCACGCACCTCTGCGCCGTCCTCGCTGATTACGTCCGTAGCACCACCCCCCATCTCGCCAACGGCCAGGGCGCGAGTGACAACCACTCTCTGGCCGGTAAGAACCCTGGCAAGCTGGTGGCCGGCCAGGGGGTGGTGGCCGGCCAGGGAGTGGTGGCCGGCCAGGGAGTGGTGGCCGGCCAGGGGGTGGTGGGCGGCCAGGGAGTAGTGCAAAGCAGTCTGATCTACCACATCGTGCTGAAGCGGATTCGTTTATTGGGTGTGGCCGAAGCGAGGCGTTTGTTGGACGCGTTGGTAGACGACCTGAGTATCCGGCCGCTGCTGAACGAGTCTCTATGTGTGTCCTTGGTGTCGCTGTGCGCGTTCCTGCAGTTGGACGCGGTCTACATCCGGCACTTGATCGAGCAGTTTCTGGCGGTCTTGCCCGCGCCTTCTGCGATGTTAATAACGCTTCTGCACTCGGCCAGCTTCGCACCGCCGCCGGACTTCCTCGGCACCTACAGTAGTCGCCGGCAGCGAGGCGGCGACCTTGCCGACGACCCCGTCATGGCCGAACTCGCCACGATGGCCTTCGGCCAGGCCTATATATACTCGCCCAACTCAGAAGACGTCCGCGCCTTCCTCAACCTCCGCTGTCTCATGACGCCCCACCGGCACATTGACTACCAACGGTACGTGGCTTTCGCTACCCAACTGCCTGCTCTCCACCTATCACCACCCATCGTCGACCCCTACCTGGACCCCTACATGGCAAACGGTACACAGTCGGGCTTTTCGGGCTTGGCGCCCAGAATCGACACACCCGATCTCGAACGGAACCCGTTTACTGTCGACTCCCTCACCGTCACTCCCACCACCGTCAAAGGCGTCATTGAACTCAGCCGGAAACTCGACGCTCTCCTCGACATCGCCAGACAGATCAAAGAAGGAGCACTCGAGACCGGACCTGGAACCAAACTCACGGCGCCTGCTGTGTTCAACGTACTCGGCAAGGCAGCTCAGAAACACCGACACCTCCTCACCGAAAAACAGTTCAACGACCTCCAAAGTTTGAGCGAGGACGAACTGTGTCTGCACACTCTCAACGTCTGGCTTGAGAGTAGTAACTAGCGAGTCAAGACCAAGCAAGATCCTGGTCCAATCAAAACCCTGTCAAGACAAGACCCTGGCCACGGAGTCAAGACCCCATCGAGGCCAACGCCCAGACAACTTTCTTCAGCTAATTCAAATGCCTTCTCACAATTCGCACACCACTGATCAGCCATCCATCGTCCGGCTTATTGCCAGCACGCCGAATAGTAATATAGTTTTGACAACGTAAAAAAGTGTTCCCCCTGAAGGGCGTCAACCGTTGATAATTATTCGTCATCACTGAAATCGTCATCGTCAAGATTAAGGTTGTCTTGTCCCCCGATGTAGCCCTGCGTCATGGCTGGCGGGTAGGGGAGATAGGGGCTTCCGTAATGGTATATGTTCGGGGGGTAGGCCGTTTGTGGGCCCCAGTTTGGAACCTGGCCCCATGATGCGGTGGGCATCATTTGGCTAGGGTTGTAGAGGCAGGGGGTGAGGCCGAGCTGGGCACGGAAGCACTGGCGCGCCGCGATCGCGTCAGTAAGGCATTGTTTCATAGCGGCCTCGGTGTTAGAGATTTGCGCCTGCAGGTTCCGTTCCATGTTGCGAAGCTGATTCATGGTGTCCACGGTCTGTGCCAAGCGCTTGGCCAGGAGCTGCAGCTGCTCTCCCGGTGCGGGTTTGCAGAGTCGAGCCTTGATCTGATTATATTCGTCGTCATGTCGCTGAATCTCAGCCCGAGTTATATACACCTTCGTACGCAATTCCACTAACTCACTCGAACGCTCTTGCCACTTGGTCATGTATTGCAATCCAATACGATCGTGCCCCTCCAATGCCCCCGTCATCGCCTCCGAAGCTACTAGGTGGTGGCCCGCCTGCGTCGCCATCGCATTCGCCACAGACACTCCCGCCAAGTCCGCACTCGGCGCCGGCATGGCAGTCGCGGCTACCAGGCAAGGCACACGATAAAATCTCTTGCTGCACACGTGCACTGATTTCGTACTCCTCATAATAAACAATTATGAAAATTTAATTCACGCGTCGGGGCGAAGACCAAGGGACAAAACTCAGGGTCCAGACCAGGAGAAGAACCCATGGTCAGGAAAAGAACCCATAAGCCCAGTAGGTGAGGAGAAGGGCTCATAGGCCATGACGCGGAACCGAGAGCCTTCTCGGCTTCGGAAGCTATCCGCTCTGGCTGCCATCCTGCCTCTGCCTCTGCCTCAGGCACCTTTCTGCTTTGCACCAGATCTCAACTGGGCTGTCTTGCGAGATCTCAAATCGGTCACAGAGCGATTCTACTTGGTATAATGTTAGGAGCGAATCTCAATCCCTTAACCCAGCAACCGTTTTTTTTTATAAGTCTGCTTGTTCCGTCTCGTGCGCATTACCGAACCCTCCTTTCATTGAACTGGCCCGGATCCGAACCCTTTGCCTTCGAACCCTTTGCCTTCGAACCCTTTGCCTTCGAGACCCTTTGCCTTCGAGACCCTTTGCCTTCGAGACCCTTTGCCTTCGAGACCCTTTTTGAAAAGTGGTAATAATGAGCTATCTATCTACTATAGCTGTAGTTGAGTTTTTATGAGCAAATCGGCAGCGAGAAAAGCGTTGCCGGACTGCGCAGTGATGGCGTCCGCGGAGCAGTAATGTTGTTCGAGATCGGAGCAAACGTTACAGACGTCTGCGCTGAGTTTATTGACTGTAGTGGTAACTTGCAGCAGTGCATTGGACTTGGTTTGTATCAGGGAAGGCGCAATGGAGTGGGCGATAGTGGAGTTCGCCAACGCGTCATTAAGATAGACGGTTTTTGGCGGTTCGGGGGTAGACATGAAGGCGGCATTGCTTTGGCTGACCATGTTGGCGAGGTCGCTGAGAGTGTTATCTGTCTTGAGAACTATTGGGTATTTTGTCCACGCATCATGGGCCTGTTGCAAAATGTTGTTCAGAGGCGCAACAATCGGACTAATCATGTCCTCTACGGATTCGATGCTCTCGAGACGCTGTCTCACGGCACTCAGTACCGGTCGATCCCACTGGTCTTTAGCAATTTCCCCCAAAGCCAAGTGAGAGTCATAGTAGGTGACAAGATGGTCAATTCGCTCCATGAGGTCTTCAAATTCCTGGCCATCCTCTGCACGTATATATAACTTAGTCGTATCGTAACCCATCGGATCACGGTATTGTGCCAAATCATTCACATCCATTTTTACATACTGACCCAGCGAGTCCCTCACCGCACTCACCTCTCCCAAGAAACGATTCGCGATCTTGTCCGAACGAGCAATGTACTCCTGCTCACAATATGCAAGCAACGAATTACAAGACTGCAACAAATCATATGCTGCGCTAATCTTGCTCACCAAATCACCACGGCGTCGTGTGAGTCTTGCCATGTACAATCCATACGTCAACCGGCAAAATGCTTCTTCTTGCCCGTCATATCCCAACCTGTTGACGAGGTTCACATCAGCAAAGGCTGCATATATTATCGATGGGATCACTACATCGCGGCAAGCTGATGACGGGGTAATCTTCACCAAATCGTATTTACAGTACCCCGTCCACTCGCCAGATAAACACACAGATTGAGACAACTTCATAGTCCGAGAACCGACGTCCATGCAAACCTGAAAGTTGCCAGCTAAAGCGCGGCATTCCGTTAACTCATTCGTCTCGAATCCAATACTTTTCACTTGCCCATCCTTATCGGTCTGCGCAGCCGTCCCATGAGTACAAAAAGTATCAATATTCACCAGTTCTCCATCCTCATTGTATCCAGCGCAATTTGTTCCCGGCGTTGCACACGTGTTTGCTATTTTGAGGAACGTGCGCAGAGTTGATTTACAGCTTGCCGACGGGGTATAGTCCTTCTTGATCTCAATACTGCATAGCGCATCGTCATATGGTTCATAGCAACTCCGAAATCCCCACGATGAGTTTTTGATCATGGGATTAAGAGCTTTCTTCATCTGTTGAGAAACCTGAATAGCTGCTGGTCCTAGGCCTCTAAAAGAATTGCAGTGGCAGGTCCGTAGGGGCGGCAGGTCCGTAGGGGCGGCAGGTCCGTAGGGGTGGCAGGTCCGTAGGGGCGTTGGGTCGGGCCGGGCCGAAGATTACTGGGCGAAGGAGGGGCAGACCAAGTCTGACCTAAGATGGTCGTGGAGCATTTGTAGTTGATTTCCCCACAGCGGCAAGACAGGTACTAGCTTAACGCATTCATGTTGGTAAGTATTTAGTTCATTCGTGGCGGGAGTTGACTTGTCAGTGGTCGGAATTAGGGGTGAGGGAATATCTGCGGGATTGATAGCGCTTGTTCCCGAGTACGATGACAAGGTTGTTGCAATGATTGAAAGAGTGATTAGCTTCGTGGCTATATTCTTAGTATGGACGCGAGCATAAGTAGGACGCATACAGCAGCCGCGCACCCCAATATAAATGATAAGGCCAAATAGAGGTCCATAAATGTGGGGGGTAGGTAAATGGGTTGTATGTTTGGTTGGTTACGGTTTTCCTTTGGTGAAGCTGAATGAAGGGAGTGGGGCATCAGTGGATCCCTCGGCCCAAACGGTTGACAACCAGCGATACTGGAGCGCGTTTAAGTCGCTGGGAGGTTGGACACCCTTCGGAACAATTGACTACAACCTTGATGGGACTCAAGACCTATTGCTATATCAGGAATCATCAGGCACTACCCAAGTAAAGGTTGTGTGTAGACAACCGGACAACCACCCCTGGTCGGTCTGCGGTTCATTCCGACTACCGTTGGCCCACTCATTATTTCTCCGGCCACTTCAGATCGATACTAACACCAAAGGCGTCAACGGAAAGGGCGTTGCCCGCCACAACGTTAATGCGGGCGGCCCTAGTGCTGTTCAGATCGTAACTATATCAAGTAAAACCGATGCAGGACCGTCTCCCTCAGGCATCGGGAAAGCCGTCGGTAACGTCGTCGGAAACGTGGTTGGCAATGACGACAAGTCAAGTTGTGTCTTGCAATCCTTCGTACTGAATGAGCGTGACTTGGGAAAAAAGGATTTTGTCTCTAGCTGGTCAGAATCAATTGACTGTGAGACCAAACCGATATTCTTGGACATAGATTTCGATGGACTTACGGACATGCTTGGCTCGTCTGAGGCCAGCCGGGCTGGTTACATAAATCTCGGAAATGGCTCGTTCGAAAAGAGGGGGTGGGAGGACATGTCGGACTACTTTGATCTTACAAATTATTCGAACCGAGACCGATTCCCTGTAGACTTATATTCCTTTGAAGACGACAAGTCCAACGAGGACTTCCTGTCCAGCATCGACTCCGCCGTTGGGCACAACTCCTCGGTCTCAGACAGCAAGGGCTTCTTTGGGTGGCTGCGATCGTTTGTGGAAGAGCCCTCCGCCGAGAACACCGTAAAACACTACCTCAAGGAGCACCTGGAGGACTTTAAGAAACACATGGTGGGACTCTACTCCCAAACGGGCAACGGGCAGTGGACGCCGCGGCCGCTGCCGCTGCACTACCCTGCTCGCATTGCGCATTCGGTCTCTGGGCATGCCCAAGTCGACATGGACGGAGACTGCATGGCGGACTTGGTACTCATTGTGGACAGTCCAGATTTTGAGAGCCGGCAGGAACTGGAGATCTGGCTAACGGAACCGAACGCGAACGGCGCCGGCGCGGTCCGGCGGATGTGGCGGAGCCAGCGGCTGTTGTTGCCCGACAACCTCTTGAGTGTATACCTTACGGACTTCAACGGTTCCGGCGGGGCCGACCTATTGGTGCTGGCGGGGCTGCAACCGCGGTTATACCTGTTCCGCATGCTGCACGAATCGCAGGAGTTGCCCGGCGGTCTTTGCGGGAACAGCTTCCACTTTTCCTTCGGCGGTATGAACGGACGCGTCCAAAGTGACTTCATGACCGTTACGCCGATAGCGGAGGAGTTGGTCACCAAGCACCTGCAGGTGCTGGACGTAGACGGGGACCGCTATGACGACGTGGTCACGATTGTGCAAAAACCGGCGGGTCGTCGCAGTGTGCGTGTTTACCGTTCCGTGCCCTGGGGCGGCGGTAGCGACCGCGGGAGTGACCGTGGTGGCGCACAGAACGCTAGCGGCGGCTGGTTCGCGGGTCCGTGGTTCGGCGGCCGCGCAAGTTGGTTCGGTGACTGGTGGCTGCGGCTATGGTGGGCGGGAAGCTCAGCAGCCCCGTCTTCCGTAAACCGCGCGTTCGAGTCTTACTATGAGCTGGACCTGCGCGACAACCCCGTGATCGCCAGCGGCTGGCTCGACTCGGGGCACTTCTTGGTTTGGCATGGCGCCCCCGGCAACCCGCTCACGGCTTTCGCACAGACCGGTTTCGACGGCGAAATGGGGTACGCCACCCGCGTCCAAGTCTACGGCGCCCAGTGCCTCGGCCGCAAAGCTGCCCTGCCTCTCAGCGGCGCCGTAGTCGCCCTCGCACCCCCCGGCATGGACGGCGTCCGTCTCCCCGTGCGCCGCACACTTTCCACCGCCGACTCCGCCTCCCCATTCCCGCCGGCCGTCCTAACCGCCGGCTTCGGCCAGTCCAGCAACTACATCGACGTCGCCAACGTCGGTCTGCCCTACACCCACGCACCACTCCACGAGTGCGGTGAATACCAACGGCTACCCATCATTGCCAATGCTACGCGCCCTGCCCTCGCTGCGTTCGCCCGCACTTGGACCGCCGTTATGCCCAACTGCCAACTCCTCATCACCGTGCCAGCCAACCGCTGGAAAACAGACCTCTGGAGACTCAGCCTCATACTCTCGCCCGGCCGCCAGGCCGCCAAGGTCTTCGTCGGCATGCTCCTCGCACTCGCACTCGTCGGCCTATTTATCGGCACACACACCCAGGACACCAAACGCAGAGCAAAACAGGCTTTTATATGACAACATCGCCCCTAACCTCCTCCCTCCTGGCCGTCGACCTCGCACACTCCCTCCTCGAAGAAAGCGACCCGCGCAGACCCTGGACAGATGAAGAATCCCCAACCACCGCTTCCGATGAACCCACGTAAGCACACACCCCAACCGCACAAGCGAGGGTGTGCAACACACCAGGTCCAAGACCCCGAAGTGACTGCCGACGGACTCAACCCAATTCTACGAAGGGAGCTGGCTCCGAAAGGAGCTGCTGGCTCGGAAGGGCGCTGACTCGGAAGGGGCTGCTGGCTCGGAAGGGAGCTGCTGGCTTGGAAGGGAGCTAGTTCTGATGGGAACAGGCTCGAAAGGGAGCTGGCGCGTCCTGCATGCATCAGAGAATCGATGGATGTTATCGCCGTAAGCGGTTGCACCTTGCTCACACTGTGTGTTTCAGGGCGAGCTGAGTCAGACCGAGGCAGCCCCTGGGGACTCCGATCGGGTGGTAGCCGTGGCGTCGAACTTGCAGCCAGCTAGCGTGGTACCACCTGGAGCCGTGACCAATTTGCAGCCACCCACCGTGCGGTCACCTACAGTGCGCCCGCCCGGATCGGTGGGCCTCACGACATTGGTGCGTCCCTCCGGGTCTCCTTCGGGGTCAGTGTGTGTTTCGGGGTTGGTGTGCCCTTCGGGATCGGTGTGCCCTTCGGGGGCGGTAACGTTGGTGCGTTACGACGATGCTCCGGCTTCCCGTAGACAATGTTCCGGTTTCCTGTTGTTGATGGTTGCAGTGACTGCTGTGACGGGTTTTCTGATGGGGTACGACTTGTGTATCGTGGCGGTGGTCTTGGATCCGATTCGGCAGGAGTTTGCGGTATGTGCGGGTGGAGAAAGTTTGGACGGTTTGGGCAAGGCGGCGCCGTGTCTGTTGAACGAGTTGTTTGTGGCGATCTTGGCACCAGGAGCGATGGTGGCCTCGTTGTTCGGTGGGTGGGCCGCAGATCGGTTTGGGCGGCGGCGGATCCTCATGTTGTCGGACGTGTTCTTCTTTTGCGCAGCAACGACCATGTCGCTGGCGCAGACGTACTCGGTCATGCTAGCAGGCAGGGCACTGCTCGGCGTCGGGATTGGAATGGGCTTCGTGGTCTTTCCGACGTACATGGCGGAGGTGGCTCCTGCAGCGGTGCGCGGCGTGTTGGTGACGTGTCAGGAAGTGGCGCAGTGTCTTGGTTGTCTCGGGGCGTACGCGGTAGCCTTCTTCGTGAATCCACGCACGCAGTGGCGGGCTCTGCTGTTTTTCGCAGGCGTGCCTGCGGTAATCCAGCTCATCGGCACCCTCGTGCTACCAGAGAGCCCACGATGGCTCGTATGCAAGAGGAAGATACCCTCTGCCAAACGAGCCCTCGAGCGAATCGCCGGCCACTCACCCGACCCGGAACATGAGTCTAGGTACACCATTGTCGAGCGCTTCCTCGTCGCCACACCCCCCAGCGGCTATAGCGACTCGTCCGCCTCTCGAATTTCCAGAGTCAGGGCCGCCCGGGCGGTCTTTCAAGGCGCCGACGAGCGGGGCATAGGAGTCGACGACATCCGCGACATCGAACACGAAATGAGGTACCACGCCACTCTCACTAGAGAAAACAGCCGCGTGGACAACGTTACCGATTTTGGCTCCCCATACATGCCCCCACCAGGGTCCAGACAACCTCCCATCCAAGTTCTGCTGGCGCTCATCGAGGAAGAAGAACTCAGACAACTGAACAAGCAAAAGAAACGAATGGAACGGGTCAAAAGGGATGATGAGGAGATGCTCGCCAAATTTAATGAAAGTAAGCAAACATGCGCCCGCGCGCGTGTGTGCACACGCGTGTGCGCGCGCATAATAGCGGGTGATTTTCCTTTCTGTAGAGCGAGTATCTCATGTGATGTATAACTTGTTTCGGTTTAAGCGGTGGATCTCTTTAGACCACAACCCTACTGTACAGAAGGTTAGAGCGAACATCATGCCGTTACTAATAGCTATGGGCTGCGCAATTAGCCAGAACTTTACCGGAGCGAATACAATACTCTATTATTCCATAGATTTGTTCAAGATGGGTGGAGTATGTGATACAGTACTCCCAGGATTTATGATTGGCGTTGTTAAATTGGTTGGCGTACTACTGATGATACTGTGTGTAGAACGTATTGGAAGAAGAATTCCGCTATTAGTTGGTACAGGCGGAACGATAATGTGTCACTTGGCGTTGACTTATGTTTATCAAACATATAACTTTGAAGGTGACATATGTGCAGAATCAACAAACCAAGTTCCCGAAGGAATTGTTACTTTGAACATGTGGTTGATATGGGCTTTGATGTTCTTCTGGAACATCAGCTGGGCAGGACTCATGTTTGTGGTGGCGAGCGAAGTTTTACCCTCCAACTTCAGAGGAGTCGGTATGGGTATTACTATCGCTACCTTTTGGATCTTTGCCTTTGTCTTCCAGCTCCTTTTCAGGACACTTATTCTGACCATCACTCCAGAAGGCACTTTCGCACTTTTATCCTTTACTTCCTTCCTTGTCCTTCTATTTGTATACTTCAAGGTACCCGATCTTACAGGGAAGACTCTGGAAGAAATACACTGACTGGAGATGGACATGACTATATGCCAGTGCGGCCTATTGGATGAGTGCGGACTAGTGGATCAGTTCCGACGAGTGTAGTCCAGGTTCTCTAGTTTGCCTGCGGTCTCACTGTGTGTAGTTGGTCGCGCTGTTGCGGCACAGTTCGTAATTCAGTTTTTGGGTGCTCAGAAAAGAAAGAATGGCTGCATATGACTTTGAGAAAGAGATTGACTTGAGACTAGGTTCTGGTGGGTGCGTTTCGGGCAGGGTGTGCCAGGGGGGTCGCAGCATGGATCAGAAAGCGTTGCTTCTGGACGGAATAGTAGTAAAAGACGGCCACGTCGAAGTCGATTTGCGAGCTATCCGGGACAGAGATCTCCTAAAACAAAATGTATTGACCCTCTCGGACATGCTGACAGCTTTGGTGTATTCCTTGATGGTGGAGTACTCACAAGGACAGCTTTCAGATTTGTGCTTGACCGAGGTCACACCCGCGACAGAAGCTGGACGGGCGCAACAGCTGGACTCGAAGCTGGTGGGATATTTGCTACTGACTGGCAGGTGCTGCATAGCCCCTGAGTCCATCGCTGTCTTGGAGGAGGTCATGGACACACGGTTCTATCCTTGTAGCGCTCTGGACGTGCCCCGAAATGGACAGACAGTGTGTCTACTTACCGGCAGAATGCATTCCGTTAGCTTGCGCACCAAGGTACCCTCCGTCATTAACTGGGACGATGACGCGCGTCTGAAAACCCCACCAGACATATCAGTAAAGTGAGACACACGGCTAACCACTTGGCTACATTGGTAACCACTTGGGCATATTGGTAACCACTTGGGCATATTGGTAGTCAATTGGTGAATGTCGTTTAGATTTGTGAGCATAGCGCAAGGTTGTTCAGGCGACCCAATGGAAATGTCCATAACGGCACGGGTTCCGTCCATGTCTCTCGTGACGGACCGGTTTGTCGGCCTCTTAGGTCTTTTGGCGAACGGCGTTTTGGATGTATGGTGTGTGGTTCCGTCTTATTTACTTTACAATCAATGGTCAGAGGTTGATGCGGCTGTCGTCCCGAGACAAGGGGCCTATGACTTGTTTCTCGACAACTACGTTAAGCTCTTTCCCGGTCTACATCCCTATGTTGTAGAGCTTTTTTTGCTCTCGGTGGCGTGTTCAATTATTGAACATGAGTCCAGTCGCGAGTCCAGTCGTGAGTCCAGTCGTGAGTCCAGTCGTGAGTCCAGTCGTGAGTCTGACCACGAGATGACTGCAATCAGCCGAAAACTTGTTCCTGTTGTCAGCATTCAGCCTTTGAACGCGTCCTGTCAGGACGCGTTGATAAAACTAGGGTCATTGCTGGGCTGCCATAACCCCGGTGGCTCATCCCATCCCATCGGCTCAGCCCATGGAATTCTCACGTTTACAAATCACTACAAGGATGCCCAAATCATTGTCGGAGCCCAAATCATTGTCGGAGCCGGGGGGAACATTGCGTTGAGTGTGCGTGACGACTTCTTCAGTGGGGGCGCAATGATCGTACTCGGACGAATTGCCGAACGGTAAGAGAAACCCTCCCTTACCATCTGGAAAATAATTTGAAAAGGTGGTAATCTCCTGGTGGTTAATTGACTGTTAGTAGGACATTAGTTGATATTAGCATCCAAGCGGACTTTGATGAATGTTTGGAGCCAAGTAAGCAACTGGTGCCTGATGTACGTTCATTCGTCAACATTATGTTTCCTCACTTGACGGGGGCTAATGTTCCATCGGCCCCTGAATGCCCTCGCTGGTCGCAAGATGCCTATAAGCGCTACTTGCTTTGTGGGATCGCCGCGATAAAGCCCTTGGTGGAGACATTTACCATGCTAAGGTGTGTCAGCGAAATATCTAATGCGGATGTAGACCACATTTCTGCCCTGTGCCAGTCCCGACTGAGGCGCAAGAGACCAGCCGAGCATCAACCGCTCCTGGAGGCCGTCGTCAAGGTAACCCAGCGCCGTAAACGGGGAACAAGCCTGGCCTCCGTTCTGACGTACTTCAAACAAGCACTCCACGGCATTTCCCAAATTGACGGGGAGCAACTAACGTTCATTGCGGACCAGGTCGTGCAAGACTGCGGCACTAACAAGGTAAACGCCGCTGACTTGATTGAGTATGCCAATGATTCCGGCTTCATTCTCAAACTAGGCAACGATACCTACAAGGTGCCATAACCGTCGATTGGCCACCGGCCCACAACCCCATCGGTCTATCGAAACAGACCCACCGATCTGACCACCGATCTGACCACCGGTAGGACTCTCACGTGTTCGCAGTACTTCCTCTCTCGATCTGTACGTGGGCGTGTTCTCTGCTCGATCTGTACGTGGGCGTGTTCTCTGCTCGATCTGTACGTGGGCGTGTTCTCTGCTCGCATCCTCCCGATCCCAGTTTGTGATAAAAAGTCCCCAAAAAGTCTCATTCACGATTCCCGTCGGCAGAGTACCAAATATCCACGCCATTGTAATCGCTGATGACCTGAAGCGGTATCCCTATTCCCTTGACCATTTGTTCCCATTTTTCCGGCTGTTTGCAGTACACAGTGACCAGCGTAATATGCGACAGGCGTGAACCAACTTGTTTTACCGCGTCTTCTAGCTCCTGGCGAGAGATAACCAGAGATGTGTCCCGGCACCTGCGCCCAGTGTAGTACGCATCGTCTGCGGGCATTCCGGTACCATTCTGGTCCTCGCCATTTTCCTGGTCACCCTCATACTCCTGGTCATCGGCAGTTGCTTGGCGGACGGCGTTTGTGTATTGGTCTGTGCGTTCGTCTTTGTAGTCTGTGAAGACGGGCTGAGACTCGCCGGGTGCGAAGAGTAGTTGGTGGATTTGGGTGGAAGCAGCGATGGAGCGAATTGCGGACCAGAGCGCGATAGGGGTGAACGGGTCTAGCGGTCCCTCGGCGAGGGCCAGTTGAAGCTCTTGGTGGTTCCCGGCGTCCTCCCACTCCAGATCTGTGTGACCCAAACAAAAGGGCCGGCCCACGCCGTCGGGCCAGGTCCCATACATGTTGGTGCTCTGGATCAGTTGCTCGAAGAGCGGGTGGCTCGCCATCTCGCCCATGAACCCTACGGGTACCCCCAAGCCCGCCACCGATAATTGCGCATTGAACGAGCCTGACGCCGGCCTCCGGTTGCCAGTCGCTTTCGTACTCAACGTCGCGCGCACCAACCGCGTCGTGTCCCAATTGTACCGCACCCGGCGGCTTCCGACCTCCGCCTCCACACCCGCCGCCGCCTTCGCCACCGCACTAGACTGAAATACATCCCGAAGCATCACGCTGAGGCGCCCGCCGGTGTCTACTTGCTCGCCGGTGGCCACTTTGATGGTTGCAGGGTCGAAAGCACCGATCGGCTTGATAATGCCGTCGACCTGCATTGCACCTGTATCCATGTGAGCTAGGGTGATGGACGAAATGGCAGACGACGAAACCTTAGTCGACAAAGGGGCACTCGTCGACCAGGACTCGGTCGACGACAAGCTCAAAGACTCCACGTGTTCACCCCCCGCTGCCGGGCCCGTCTTCGCCGCCCTAAGTTCCAGTGCACGGGGCCTCCATGAACCACCCCTCTCCGATTCACTCACATCTTCTTTAGCTAGTACGCGGCTTTCGCCCGTATCAAGTTCTACGCCCTGAGTACCAACGGGGCTCGTTACAGGCATTAGGGCCTGAAGCCGCGTCTGGGACGCCACCAACCCAGTAGCAGGCGTGCCAGAGGTTGGCCTTTCCCGGGCCCGGTCGTCAGAGCTGGCAGCCGCCTTCAGGGTCACAGTGTTTCGGGTAAGAGTCTCGCCTGAACTCGACTCTCCTGACTCAGCTTGTTCGGCGGCTCTGACACTCACCATGCGTTTGTAGTCCTTGATCAGCAGGTCCTCTATAGGCAGCTTCTGCGGTTGGAGAAGGTAGTCAATAACGGCAGTGATCCGGTCGCTTTCATCTAACTCATACAAGCCGTTCAGGAACGGCTGAAGCTGTTTGTTCCAGAGATTATTGATATCCTCATCGTCTGGACTGGCGACCGTCTGGACTTGCGTTTCATTAGCCCATGCAAACAGATCGACTGGAGCATGTATCTGTCCAACCGCCGTCGCGACAGACACACCGACCCGCTTTGCCGCAACCTCCATTTTGCCTGGCGCAAGGATCGATCCGGCGTCTTCCAGCATCCGTGTCATAAGGAGTTTGGCGTATACCTTCAACCTCCTGGCAGACGCCGGCGGAAACGGCGGAGCCACCACGTCACGCAGCAATTGTTCGATTGCCAACCACGGTGCCGTCGGCCACGGTGCCGCCGGCAATGGTGCCACCGGCAATGGTTCCGATTTGATGGAATCTATTATCGATTCCACTTTCTCGTTCACTTCAGACAAGTAATCGCTGTCCACTTCGTTTCGGATTGTCGTCGGAAACTCCTCAACAGTGAGCGGCGACCAAGGAGCCAGCTTCAGCCCTGAAGAAGTGTCACCGCCATCGCTAAACCCTATCTCGCTGATCCAGTCCCACACTTTTCGACCAATAAGGGTATCAATGTAATGTAGACTGTCCTGCTGTACTCTGTCCTGCTGTGCTCTGTCCTGCTGAACGCCATTCGGCACACCGCCATCTTGTCCTGCCAGGGATAGCGTTATCAGTACGCTGCATAGTAGTCTTCTCATTCCAAAAGAGGAATTTTGTCAAAAAGAGGAACTTTCTCAAGCGCGGATAAATTTCGTATTGATCTCTTTCGGCTAGAGTGTGTGCCGAGGGCTGATTTGCTGGATCTACACTCCAGCATCCAGACCTAGATATTTTAGTTCAGATACTAGAACAAGGCGGTGCCTTTAGGAACTACTTCACCGTTTTTACCGGAATGCGACGAACGATCCGGGTACAGGACTTACGCAGTCTCGGACACGAGGCCATCCGGTCAGAATTTATGGAAAGGGTGTGCAGCGTTCCCACAGCTGTGCGAGACCAAAAAAAATGAAGAGCTGCAAAATAACAACAACTTCAGGGCATTTGTGGATGTTCGGGAAATTTGATGGTGTCGGTGCTGGTTTGACAGGTGGTTGGATATATGAAGCGCGCCGTGTGAATGACGTGTGTGTCTTTATCTCGGAATATAGGAGGGAGTACTTGTCACGATCCCGCCTGGGCCATTCCTTCCGGTGGTCGAACACCATTCGAACCGTGCCGATTTCGCTTCGACAATTTCGTCCTTCTTCAACTTTTCGACGCGGTCGAACGTGTGTGCTGCAGTACGTCGCCTTGGCTCCTGTTCTGCGGCTTGTGGTGACAGAGTGCGTCATGTTGCCGGGTGTGCGAGCACAGCAGAACTTACACTCCGCAACTCTGAACCACTCCGGCTGGTTGCTCCAGGCGATCCTTGCCCTCCACATCTAGGAATGCATCGCGGACCCTGGGTTTTTATTCACCCGTTTTTGTCGCCCTTCAAGTAACAGTTGAAGAAGAGGAGCCGGCCTTCTCAATAAGCGGCACAGAGAAACTACCCCGCCCCGCAAGTGACGAACCAGAGTGGCGGTATCAGCAGGGAACGTTAGAAGTGACCGAAACTGGGTCTGTTGGGGTCGCGCCTCGGTACAAGGGCGACGACGATGAAGCTGAGCATCGTTGCGGAGAGGCACGGTTTCGGTTGTACAAACCGAAGGAAGATGCCAAGCAAGCAGGATCGCATAAGTATGAGCTAACCCGTCGGAGCTGCATGTCTAGGGCAGAGGGTCTAACGTTTGATCCGAAATCGCAGAGAGAACTAGACAAAGTCGTTGACGACGTTGCTTTGAGAATGGACACTAAGCCACCGAGTGTAAGCCTTCTGGTAGAAGTAACACATCGGCGTGAACACATCCGGAAGGTCTAACGACGTAACCCAGAGGACTTAGAAGGATTCATTGACAGACTGCACGAAACAAGAGTTTTGATCGGCGACGAGAGGTCTGGGCGGTGAGGGAAGAGTTGGTAGGTTACAATGGCCGAGTGAGGAGTTGTTAGGTTACAGTGGCCGAGTGACCCGTATACCTTGTATGAAGAGCTGGACTGCCTTTCGCAGAGCATTCGGAGAATGTGTAGGCGCGCGGATTGGCATTGCTTTTGAGTATCTATTGTCGTTGACGCAGAGCAAGGTCCCGCTCAATGAGAACAGAACTGCTGATGACTTCGCGGACCTATTGCAATGGATGATGACGAAGAGCAAGACAAGCCAGAAACTACGGAGGAAGGACAGCGAAAGAGCCTACCCTGCGGTAGCTGTTAGTGAGAGGGTGTGTAGCAACTGCCACAAGAGGGCTCAGGAGGCAAAGGATTGTCGGGTTCAGGCGTTTGACAGTGATATGGCAGCTTGAGAATCGAGATGTACCGGCAACCAACTGATTATTAGCACACAGACGCTGAACTCAAGGAAGGCCCTTTACGACGCGTGTTTAGAGCGGCGACGAAGATCAATCAGGTGGAAGGAAGAAGCGCACGGTCGACAAGGAACGCCGAGAAAGGAAAAAGACGAGTGCTCGACCGGGCGCGGTCATTGAAGATGGCGAATTGCGGGAAGCTACCCAGGTGGCCAAGTTTGCAGACACGTTAGAAGCTGCGAGAGTCACGAAATGGGTGATGCTGAATGAAGTAGTGGTGGAAGCACTTTTAGACACGGGCGCAACTGCGTCTATCGTGAGTACCGGCCTGGCTCGTCAGCAGTTAAGTTTAAAGGAGATTGGGGCTGGTGCCATCAGAGGCTTTTTTACCAGGAAGAAAGTGGCGTTGGGACTTGTTGCAGAAACACTCGAAGTGTTGATTACGACCGAGGACTGGCAGAACACGGCATAGTGTAGAGTACATGGGAAGCGGGTGAAGCACTTGTTGAGGCCGCTAGGGCCGGAGTTGCGAGAGGTACCAGGTAAACAGATAGACGACATGTTGAGCATGGGTGTAATACAACCTAGTAATACGTCATGGGGAGCGAGGCCCGTGTTTGTGTGCGAGAAGACTGGTGAGTGGAGAATCTGTATTGACTACCGAACGTTGATTAAGGGAATGATCTTAAAGGCCTACCCGATACCGTTGCTGTGGGAGCAACTACAGCTGGCGGCGGGTCACAAGTATTACGTGTGTCTAGACTGTAATCATGGCTTTTGGAATGTACCCCTGGGGGCGGGAAGCCGGCAGTTTACTGCGTTTGTCGCATAGGGGCACATTCGAACACAGCGTGATTCCGTTTGGTGTTAAGAACTCACCTATCCTGTTTCAGCAGGTGATGGATCGCGTCTTCGAAGGAAGCAACAATGTCGATGTGTACATTGACCATATTGTAGTGTACGCTAATGATTTGGAAACGTTGCTTGGGCGTCTGGAGGAGGTGCTCGGGGGCGCTGCAAAGACGGCTTGTTTCTTAAGCTGAAGAGTACGTCAAGCAAGAAGCGAAGCCGTTGGGGCGGCTCATTGTGAGCGAGGAAGGCATCCGGTTGGATACGAAGAAGGTAGACGTGATGAGAGTACAAGCAATGTAAGGGAGCTGAGGTCGTTCTTAGGTTCTGTAACTTACCTCAAGACACACATTCCTCAGTTCGCTAGTAGAGTCGCCCAGCATAGCACCAATCGTCCGATGAAGCCAGGGACACCGGCACAGCCTGCGTCGATGAGTTAGTTTCACTGGAGTTGATTGGGCCTGTGGCTGGGGCAGTTTGCTATCTGGTAGTGGTCATTGATCGTGCAACCCGGTTCGTGGTAGCTGCAGTGGCTACTGACAAGAGAGTGTCAACGGCAGCAGAAGTGTTCAGAGACTGTTGGTATAGGTACTTCGGAGCACTGCTAGCTGTGTTGGTTGACGGAAGTATTGAGTTCAAGGGGGAGTTCCTCGACTTGGTTCAAAAGAGTTGGAAGTGCAGGCTGTATGTGACGGCTCCGTACCGACCTCAGGGTAACGGTGTCAACGAGTCTGGTCACTGGGGGTGATCGAAGGCTTTGTACGGGGCGGATGTACGGAGTGGTTCAGACTTGCGCGAGGCTGTAAGTTCTGCCGTTGTGCGAGCACACCCGGCAACATGACTCACACCACTTTGGTGGGACTGACGCGAGGTACTCAAATGAGCTGCCTTTGATGCGGCCGGAAGCTGTAAGAGTAGATGCACTTCTGGAGTTGCGTTTCCCAACTACGCTGAAATATCTGTCAGTGGGTTTGGATAACCACGCTGAAACACAGGTCACTGGTGCCACCGTGGAAGTTCAATACCACTTTCATTCTCAGTCGCTCCGGGACGCACACCTTGCCAGTCACAGCCTGCCGCCACCACTTGCCATCCTTCCTAACTCCAAGCACTCCGTGCGGCTCCAGCTGCCGGTACTCTCTCCTGAAGTCCTCTTCCGACACCAGGTGTTTTCCCAGTCGGGTCACATAACCTATCACTCTACCACCCAAAGCCATTGCCTCGATCTTTGCGTCGCACTCTTCAACTTCGGTTACGTACCACAAGAGCCAGTTCGACGTGTTGTTGTTCTCTCCCCACAAGAACTCCAGGATGAACCTGCCTTTCTTGACCAACTCGGACAGTGGGGCAGTGTACTCGGCGAATCGCGGGATGAAGGGTTCCCAACAGCTCCTAGGAAGCTCTGCAGTTCCTTCCTTCAGGTGAGGGCGGCGGCATTGAGAACGTTGCCTATCTTCCGCGCGCTATCCCTTGCCGCCCAATCTTGTGACGGAGGTACTTTACTTCGGGTTTGAGCCAGTCGCTCTTGTCTAGCCTGAGGTAGAAGCCTCTCTCCCTGCACAGTCGCAAGATCTTCTCCAACCCCTGCATCATCTCCGGCACCGTGTCCGCCGCGATGATGATATCATCAATGTAACACAGAGTGCGATCTTCCAGCATGCTTGCTCTTCTCCGCTATCGGCACATTCCAGAATCCCATATCGAGAGTCGTGAAGTGCTGACGGTCTGCTGCGGCCCTCGGGTGCTCCCATATTCGGGGCAGCAGATACGAGTCGGCAGTCACGCTTTGGTTCACCCTTCGGTCATCCAAAACGCACTCCGACTCGCCCGTCTCCTTCTTCTCGAAGTGCGGCGCGGCGGCACTCGCTTTTCGAAGGACGGATGACTCCGAGCTTCAGCTGCTTCTCCACTTGCTTCTCCAACTCGGCCCGCAGCTCAGACTCGAGATGTCTAAACCTCGCTTTGTACGGCTTGCCGCCTGCCTAGAAACATGCCTCATACTTGACGCACCTTAGGGTTCTCCCATACGTCTCTGTATGCGACCAGCAGATTCCACAGCTCATCCCTCAGGCTCTGGTCCAGGTGTCCCGTGCCCTCCACGAATATCTGCCGCTGCCTCTCGAAGGGATCCTCCGACTGCTCCTCTACTATTGGTGGCTGCTCTTTGTACTTCTCCGCAATCCGTATCTCATCAACTGCGCCGCCAGGACCAACGCCTTCCCGGACCTTCTCTCAACCAAACCAAACCGTTCCAATTCTCCCCCCCCCCGGAGGTTCGGGACCGATGGTTGGTCATGCACCACGAACTCTACTTCGTCCGTCTCGCCGTGCACTGTCACCGGTGCTCCGTCACGGGTAGTGGTCCTGAACCCAGCACTGTGCTTACTTGCTGTCGGCGCTGCGACACTCTTACGCCAGCGCGACTGCAATCCTCTCTACTCAGCAGGCTTACCTCTACGCCTGTATCCTGCTGGAACTCAATCTCGACCCCCCTTACCGAAATTTCGGCAGTCTCTCGACTCTCCAGCCACGGTTCCCACAACTCGTGACTCCAGCGTCATGTCCTCTGTCGGCTCATTCCGACTTTTCGCGCCCCTGGACCGTCACTCTGCATTACCTTCTCGACTGCGACCAGACTTCTGAATCAGACTTGGTCCTCACTCAGAAAGAAAGTCACCATGTGCAAGGAAGACTTTTGCAGAAGTTTCAATGCATAACGTTCAGATCAAATGTAAATAAAAAGTTCCCGAAAAAAAGTCCCATATGAAATCCAGTGCAGTGACCGACCGTGAGTGGGTTAGGGGTGCAACACACCGTGACCAGCGGTTGCAGGGTTCGCGGCGTCGGCCAATGACGTCCAGTAGCATTCCCACCAGGCAGCTAAAGAGTTCCCGCAGTCTGGAGAGCTCTTTAGCGTATAGGCTTGCTTCTGGGTCGCCTCTTCGTGCGGCTTCTGGGTCGATCTCTGGTTTGTCAAATGCTTGTAGAGTACTCCAAGAGAAGGCTGAATGTCTGTGATGTTGAGGGAGAAACCCTCATTTCCACCGAAGCACTCCACCGCTGGTTTGAGCCATTCTCCTTCAGAGAAGATCGACCAGAGAGAATCCTCGGTAACCGCACCGTCTTCGCAGTGGTCTGGCATACACAACGGCTGGCCGCCGACTAGCGAGGCCAGTTTGAGCGTTTTCATGGTAGGTAGCATGGTGCTGCTGGGGTTGAGTGAGGGAAGGACGGACACCGGCGTCCACAAGGCTTCCCAGATGTCGTCTACTTTCAGGCGCTGGATTTTCGGGAGCAGCTGCTCCAGCAACGCCTTGTCCTTAGGCGCCAACCCTTGCTCGACGAAATCGTCGAAGTCAAGAGTGCTGTCCGGGCTCGTGGATAGCTGCGCATAAGCTTTAGCCAAGTAGTATTTGAACCAGCCGCCAAACAGATTGCCGGACACACCCGTGTTGGGGGTCACGGAATCGGAAACGTGGTTGTAGTCTAAGATGTAGCGCTTGATCAATTTCTGCACACTCTGCGCCATCTCGGTCTTGTTCTGCCTCAGCACAGCACCGTTAAACTCGTTGATATCGTTCACCAAAGGACCCACAGAGGCGTTTGCCAACTCCAGCCACTCGAGCAACGGCGAGCTCAGCTCCTCCTCGTCCTTCAAGACGTTGTCGTACGTGCCCGACGCAATAAACTGGCTGGCAAGAGAAAAGCCATTCAGTTTGGCGTCTTTGAACAGGTACATGTCTTCAAGCGCAGAGGGAACCTCCTCCATGTTCAGCAAGTTCTCCCACAAGTACGCGCCGAAACCCGTCTCCACCAACTCCTGCCGAATACTCTGCAGTGCCACGTCGGCGGTGTGGGAAGCAAACACACCGTCCAGATGCGCGCCTGAGTCGTTCTCCGTGGTCTCGCTGCTGTCCTTGACCTCACTTCTGTCTTTGTCCACGTCGGTGGCGACGACGTTCTGGGGAACCGTCATACGGTCATTAACACTTACCTTGTAAACTTCCGCGCTCGTTTGGCGAACAGTGCCAGTCCAACGTGACTGCCGAGTGCTCCGTTCAACCGCGGCTCCCGCGGAAAGAGGCTTGACCTTGAGATTCGCAGCGAAGGCAGCGGTACCAATGATAAAAGCAACTACCTTCATCTTCCACACTTGTCAAGCGAAATCTTCCACACTTGTCTAATGAAAAAAAATTGCTTTGAGAGACGTGTGACGCGTGCGATTGAGCCGTTAGTGTTCCGGCCGGCCCCTCGATAAACCCTCTACCGTCGGTTCGTTTTGAGCCCCTTGCTCTGTGAGTCATCCAGGGACATAACGATCTCAATAGAAATTTCTATACATGTTTTTCCTGTCCACCATTCAACGAAAGACTGAATGTAAGACAACTTATCATGGCAGAACGCCTATCAATACCTGACCAAAAATGGCAGCATATAAACCAACTGCTTACGTCAAACAGCCTACAACTAACCAAACGAGCTGCGCAAACACTGGCATACTACAAACATCAGACAACTGACTGACGATACGCAAACTACAACGTTAACGATACCGAAATACTGTACACCAGAGCATTAACCATCAAAACGGTTTACCATAGCCACCGGTGAGCCACTAAAGCTCTTTCTGGATGCTTCAAACCAAGATGCCGGACTTATCTTAAAACAACTGATAATACACTAATGACGGTATCACTACCACTTCCGACGGTATACAATTATGTCAATACAAACGAAGCTCAAGGAGCGTACATGACAGCCAGAACTGATCTACAACTATTCACAGACAACGCGCCCAAACGCTGGCGAGCCCAAATAAAATAACTACTCAAACAGGTGTTCGCCCGCAAGATTAAAACACTTCTACGCACAACGGGCTCGAAGATAACGTATCACTATATTCAAGGCAAACTGAATCCGGCCGACGAGACGAACAAACAAAACCGGAACGCCAAACAATGACTCACAAAAATTTCCGCACACAAGCACACACTATACCGTACATATCCGTACCCAGTATCGAACACAAAACCAGCATCGAACACCGTCTTCGACCACAATCGCTAAAGACAGATCTAGATCGCACACATGTCCGGCCACAATCCTCAGATCTAGATCAAGATCTAGATCTCGATCTTCGCCTTGAAATACCAGAAAAAAAGACAAATGATATCAGCAATGGCGCTACCCCGGCCCCCTCATCCACCATGGACGAATCACTCTCCGCGATTGTTCAGAGGACCTTGAAAGTCTGCGTTCCGTTCAATTGGCGAATCCCCCCTGCCGTTGCCGATCCCCTGATCCCCATTCGCCCCTTGCACCGAGCACACGACAGCTCGGTAACGCCGTGTGGTTGGTTAGCAGGTTACAAGCACCCAATGCGACAGGCAGGCCTGAAGGGTCAGGAATTGGTTTGATCGCCCACTCCAGCCATAGGCACAGACTGACCCCATCGTCACGGAACGTACCCAACCAGAGAGGTGTGCAGGGAAAGGATGTGGGAAAGACAGCCAAGACCAATCATCCTGCTGAAGACCACAGATCATTTGTGTCCAAGGTACAGATCATATGTAAATAAAAGTTCCCGAAAAAAGTCCCACATGAAATCCCTTGACCAGAACAGTTAGTTAGTCGTGGTTGACCAGACCAGTCAGTCGTGGTTGACCAGACCAGAGTGGTTGACTGTGGTTGACCAGACCAGAGTGGTTGACTGTGGTTGACCAGACCAGAGTGGTTGACTGTGGTCTAGTTAATTACGAAGCTGGCCTCATCTCCTCTCCGGTAGCATTCCAACCAGTTAGCCACAGACTTGCCGCAGTCAATCGAGTATTCCTTTAACATGTGATCTTGCTTCTGGGTCGACTCTTCGTGCAGCTTCTGGGTCGGTCTCTGGTTTGTCAAATGCTTGTAGAGTACTCCAAGAGAAGGCTGACTGTCTGTGATGTTGAGGGAGAAACCCTCATTTCCACCGAAGCACTCCACCGCTGGTTTGAGCCATTCTCCTTCAGAGAAGATCGACCAGAGAGAGTCCTCGGTAACCGTACCGTCTTCGCAGTGGTCTGGCATACACAACGGCTGGCCGCCGGCGAGCGAGGCCAGTTTGAGCGCCTTCATGGTAGGTAGCATGGTGCTACTGGGGTTGAGTATGGGAAGGACGGATACCGGGGTCCATAGGGCCTTCCAGATGTCGTCTGCGTCCATGTTTTGGATTTTCGCGAGTAGCTTCTCGAGCCGCGCCTTGTCTCTTGCCGTCAAGCCTTGTTCGAGGAAATCTTCGAAGTTGAGCGTACTGTCCGCGCCCGTGGTTAGCTGCACATAAGCTTTAGCCAAGTAGTACTTGAACCAGCCGCCGACCAGATTGCCCGACACGCCCGTGTTGGGGGTCACGGAATCGGAAACGTGGTTGTAGTCTAAGATGTAGCGCTTGATCAATTTCTGCACACTCTGCGCCATCTCGGTTTTGTTCTGCCTCAGCACAGCACCGTTAAACTCGTTGATATCGTTCACCAAAGGACCCACAGAGGCGTTCGCCAACTCCAGCCACTCGAGCAACGGCGAGCTCAGTTCCTCCGCGTCCTTCAAGACGTTGTCGTACGTGCCCGACGCAATAAACTGGCTGGCAAGAGAAAAGCCATTCAGTTTGGCGTCTTTGAACAAGTACAGGTCTTCAGGTCCAGAAGGAACCTTGTCCATGTTCAGCAAGATCGCCCACACGTACGCACCGAAACCCGTCTCCACCAACTCCTGCCGAACACTTTGCAGTGCAACGTCCGCGGTGTGGGAAGCAAACACGCTCTCCAGATCTGCGGCTGACTCGCTCTCCGTGATGTCGTCGACCTCACTGCTGTCCTTGACCTCACCGTTGTCTTTGGCAGCGTCACTGGCGATGACGTCATGAGCGCCCGTGCTACGGTCATTAACACTTACCTTGTAAACGTCCGCACTCGTTTGGCGAACAGTACCGGTCCAGCGTGACTGCCGAGTGCTTCGTTCAACCGCAGCTCCCGCGGAAAGAGGCTTCACTTTGAGATTGGCAGCGAAGGCGGCGGTACCAATGATAAAAGCAGCTACCTTCATCTTCAACACTTGTTAAGCGGAAAAAAAAAAGTAGTTTTGAGAGACGTGGGCAGCAACCTTCCGCACGATGCTACGGCAACATCTTGGCAACGCTCACACTTCTCCACTCACACTTTGGTGTTGTATCTGAGCCAAAACAAGTCGACGAGATTAAAAAAACTGGTTTGCCCTGTTTTGCCAGCACAGATGTCCATATCACAAGCGGAACTCACAACATCAACACTTGGATGCTATCGGATATCTACCCCCCTTTGACAGGAAGTTGAATGTACGAAGCACGTGATCCGCCGGTGTGAATAACATGTCTGCCTTTGTTCTCGGGAGCGAACGCGGGATTACCTGGCATGATGGCACCCAGGTCATTCTTGCCGCTGACCACCAGACGCAGCTGCTCCCCAGGGTAGAACACCATTCCAATCGGCAACATATCGATTTCGACTTCTACAATTTCGCCCTTCTTCAACTTTTCGACACGATCGAACGTGTGTGCTGGAACGGTGTCGGTGGAAAGTTGTTTGTCAAGATGGCGAGCAGAGACCCTCAAACGGCCATTGGAGCCCTTGTATCTCAAAACGGAGGCGCCGTGTTCAGTAAGGTCTCCCATAATTGCGCCTTGATTGGGCACAAGGAATTGTGCAAGATGGTTGCCTCGGCAGTCCAGCTTTTGAACTAGAACAAACAAATCCATGTCGTCTGCTCCTTCAGCCTCCACCCAGAGATGCACCTTGGGGTAACCTACTACCACAGTTTCCTTCTCGAACCGAACAATGAATGACACTTTTCCCGGGTCGCTGCTATTGGGATCCGATAAGTCGAGACCGGTCTCAGTGCAGTACGTCGCCTTCAGCTCCTGTTCTGGGGCTTGTGGTGACAGAGTGCGTCTCATGCCATCCAGGTAGTATTTTACGTCGGTGATGTCACCCGGAGGGAAACTCTCGGCTGGTTGCTCCAGGCGATCGTTGCCCTCCAGATCTAGGACTGCATAGCGGACCTGGGGGGTTTTAGCCCACCCGTTTTTGTCGCCCTTCAAGTAATAGTTGAAGAAAAGGAGCCGGTCTTCGGTACTGTGGGCATCGTAGTAGTCCGGCCACTCCTGTGAGTTGTGGATCCGAAGCCACTTCGCTTCCGATGCCATTCTTCTCCACGCTCGGAAGGTGCCCTGAGTATGTAGAGTATTGGAATAGCTGGCAACAACATACGCCGGCACAATTATCCTGTCAAACTTCGGAATCTTGTCCGCCCACACAGAATTGTTGGCCAGCGGATTTCTTAGAGCTTCTTCGTACACATCTTCACGCAGTGCGCTAGCATTCGCATTAACGTGATTGATCTGCAGGCGTTTGGTGAAGGCTAGGTCAGGCATTCCCCCTCGCATACAGAGGTCGCGGTACGCGTCAGATAACCCCTCGTTGGGATTGATCGCTGCGAGATGCGGGGGCTGCTCAGCAGCAATGAACCACTGCGAGAACGCAAGGTAGGATGTACCACTCAGTGCCACCCTGCCATTGCACCAGTCTTGCGTAGCGAGCCATTCAATTAAGTCATACCCGTCACGCCCCTCCTGCGTTCCAATCATGTGTATGTTTCCTTCCGAGTGGGCGACACCCCGTGCATCCGGGTTGCAGACAGCATACCCCTGGGAGCACCAATACGCGGGATCAGGTCCTTCAAACTTGGCCAAACCCGAAAGCATGCTGTTATCCATGCCCAACACATTGAAGAGCTTCACTGTCCTGGGGGCCGTGCCGCCGCTTTTGCCGTAGGGGCTCCAGGCAACTATCACTGGCACCTTCTCCTGCCCCGTCGGACGAAATACGTCAACGTAGATCGTCACGCCATCCCGCATCCGGACCGCCGCATCCTTCTCAAAGACAATGGGCATAGGCAACGGCTTGAACATGGATGCCACCTGGTAACCGGCTTCTAGCACCCGGACTCCAGGCTCGAACCTACTCAATAGTCCATGCTCCCTACCGTCATCAACGTAATGGTAAACCGGCTCAAACACTTGCTGCCTCTTCACCTCCTCCATCTTGGCACGATTCTGGTAGTTGGTTAACACGATCTCAAAAGTGGTACTCGTGGGAGCGGGTGGTAGCGGGGGGTTTGGAATTTATGGTTATCTTGGGGCAGAAACAGGGACGCGAGGACCTCTGAGACGAAAACGGGCAGATAGACATAACGCTACCGGTCCGGCTGGGTTTTTGGGGGAGAAAGAACACTGTCATCATCCCACTAATACGTATAGTAAGTATCTGAGGGAGCGAGGGAGAGCTTGACGGCGTGAAGAGGTCAGTGACGCTAGGTCGGTAGGTTCACGAGGTTGATAGTAGCCAGACGCGCCCGGTTTCGAGCATGAGCTACTCAGCTCAACCTCTGAGATTGGGGCCCGACCGGCTCTGCCGCTAGCTTTTTATCTTTTTATGGGTTGAGGGACTTTCTACGAACGCATAGACCATTCAGCCCGCCGACCCGAATTCTACTCGGCTGGCGGTATCGGCAGGGTTATGCAGGGCCGTAAGAGGTTATGGACCAAGACTACCTGCGGCCTCACTAGGGAGGGATGCGAGCACGATCGTGTGCCGCTGGACGCAACGAGATAGTCGGGCCGAACAAAGGCCCGTTCAAGTGGGCGGGCGTCGGGACGGCAAGAAGGTCTCACGCGCCGGCCACAGGGTGGCGGTTGGAGTCCGCCAGGTGAGCAAGATGGCGTGAACGGGCCTACGGGGAAGGATGCCGAATGCTTCCGTGGGAGATGAGCCGGGTTAGACGGAGTGAGTCAAGTCTACTGCTTGCTGCCGCGTAGCGAGTTCCCACGGGGTGTCCGTTCGAGGAAGAGAGAGTGCTCGCTGGAATATAAGCGTGTTAATGAGTCGAAGCTGGCGGCGGATTTCTATCTGGATTTGGGACAGCGGCAGTCATCGGATATACTGCACCTTGGATATTTTTTCCGGTTTCTGGAACGCACCAAGGAGAGTAGAAACTTGACTGCCTTCGTCACACCATTCGGCCTCTGCGGGTTTAACGTGATATCCTTTGGGATCGTCGGCCGAGTTTCAACGCCAGGTTCTCTGCTATTCTGAAGCAGGCGGATTACATTGGCTTGGCTTACTTCACGAGGGCTGGCCACGCGAATGTCGGTTAACTCGCAGAGGTCGACAAATTGGCCGTAGCATTTGACTTCACCCTAGAGCTCATGTCTAGAGAGGACAACTGTATGGCTGTCGGGCCAAACTATTACCAAAAATCCCGTTAATCAAAGTTCCCGAAAAAAGTTCCGGTTTGTGAAATACATTCCAGGTACAGTGATCCCGTTAATCAAAGTAGATGCCTGCTCTATGGAACCACTTCGTAAAAAACTCATCAGGGGTCATGCCGTGTTCCAAATCGAACTCGAAGCACCGCCGCCACCACTCCATAGAACTTAAGCAAACAACCTCCTCCCCTCTCATTTCTTCCAGATCATCTTCGGGATACCACGAGAATCTTAACTTGTGGTCTTGCTTTTGGGTTGCCTGTTCGCGCAGTTTCTGGGTCGGTATCTGGCCGGCGATATGCTTGTACAATTTTCCCAGAGAAGGCTCAATGTCTGTGATGTTGAGCGAGTAGCTTTCTTCGTCTATCACTGGTTTGAGCCATTCTCCTTCAGAGAAAATCGACCACAGAGAATCGTCGGCAAGCGTGCCGTCTTCGCAGTTGTCTGGCATGCATAACGGCTGGCCGCCAGCGAATGAGGCCAGTTTGAGCGCCTTCATGGTAGGCAGCATGGTGCTGCCGGGGTTTAGTATAGGAAGGTCGTCGTTCGGGGTCCACAGGGCCTTCCAGATCGCGTCTGCGTCCATGTCCTGGATTTTAGCGAGCAGCTTCTCTAGCAGCGCCTTGTCTTCGGCCGTCAAGCCTTGTTCGAGGAAATCTTCGAAGTTAAGCGTACTGTCCGTGCCCGTAGTTAGCTGCACATAAGCTTTGGCCATGTAGTACTTGAACCACCCGTCTACTAGATTGCCGGACACACCCGTGTTGGGGGTCAAGGAGCCGGAAACGTGGTTGTAGCCCAATATGTAGCGCTTGATCAACGCCTTCACACTCTGCGCCATCTCGGTCTTGTTCTGCCTCAACACAGCACCGTTAAACTCGTTTATATCGTTCACCAAACGACCCACAGAGGCGTTCGCCAACTCCAGCCACTCGAGCAACGGCGAGCTCAGCTCCTCCGCGTCCTTCAAGACGTTGTCGTACGTGCCCGACGCAATAAACTGGCTGGCAAGAGAAAAGCCATTCAGTTTGGTGTCTTTGAACAGGTACATGTCTTCAAGCGCAGAGGGAACCTTGTCCATGTTCAGCAAGTTCTCCCACAAGTACGCGCCGAAACCCGTCTCCACCAACTCCTGCCGAATGCTCTGCAGTGCCACGTCGGCCGTGTGGGAAGCAAACACGCTGTCCAGATCTGCGGCTGAGTCGCTCTCCGTGATCTCGCTGCTGTCCTTGTCCTCACTTCTGTCCTTGCCCACGTCGCTGGCGACAGCGTTCTGGGGAACCGTGCTACGGTCATTAACACTTACTTTGTAAACGTCCGCGCTCGTTTGGCGAACAGTGCCGGTCCAACGTGACTGCCGAGTGCTCCGTTCAACCGCGGCTCCCGCGGACAGAGGCTCGACCTTGAGACCCGCCGCGAAGGCAGCAGCACAAATGATGAAACCAACTACCTTCATCTTCAACACTTGTCAAGCGAAATCGCCAAAAAATATGAGCAACGGAAAAGACGGGGCCGAAGACTGGATCAAAGAAGCTATCTGTAAGGTATTTGTTCTGGATCCTTCCCGGCCATTATGGCCTTCTTGGTGGGGCGATGGAGCTCCTACGGCTGAAGATGCTACAAGGTCCAGAAGCCCCGGTAATGCTGGGAATGGTGAAGATGACGCGAGTAGTGCCCAGGTCGAAGCAGATTCAAGGCGGTTATTCCAAGTCCAGATCATGGCAGGTGGCATTAGTTCCAAATACTTGGTTAGATGTGCGGCGGGATCACAAACGAATCCCACGGGGGGCATTTTGATCTGTGATACTCAAGGAGTGGCGAAGATGGTTTTGCCGGGACCGGTAATCAGTCGAGTACAGCGCACGGGCAAGCCGAATGTGTTGGAGATACTTGTGGAGAAGACCGGTGGCGATGCTTCTACTGACAGACAGTTAATTGAGTTGATGTTCGACAACGAGCCTCAGTGCTTTCAGTTCTCCAAAATCATCACCACAGTGATAGGACTGAAGGTCAAGAGACAGGTAGCTGGGTCAGGCAGCGAAGGAAAGCGACAGCTGAAAAAACCTATCGATTTGGACGTCTATAGTCTCAAGGACACATTAATTCTCGAGGGATCTTGCCAAACAGACACTGTCTTGACTGCCAAGTACGTGGAGAGCAAGGAAGCAGACGCTCAACTACGAGAGAAGAAACAGTTATATCCCTTCATACGTATCAACTGGTTCTTGTCCAAGGCCCCAGGCGTCGTGGCAACTATGCCCGTCGAGGGATCCGAAGGTACGGGAAAGTTATACGATAAACAATTCAGCGTTGCCAATGTTCTCGAATTCAATGTATTATCCCGTATGGCGGGGCATTACATCTTTGTTGAGGCATATATCTATAGTGAATCTAAGAATTTAAAGGTTGCTATGAAGGGACCAGTTTTACCTTCAGCAGATCTTTCCAAACGATTGCTCAAGATTATTGTCGGTGGACAAAGCAGCATGTCCATTGGAATGGTTGTGGATGATCTCATCGGTTATTATGGCAACATGACACGGAAAAAAGATTACAGGAAGTTGACAACCATCTTGAGGCCCACTACGGGCAACATGATCGACTGTCGCCTGCTATTATCCTACAAAGGGCTCAGCATTATCCCCGATATTGAGTTGTTTAAAGGCCTCGAGTTACCAGGCCTATACACTGAAATCAACTTCACCTGGGGTGAATGTTATTTCAGTTTACCACACGTGTGCGACGAGGAAACAGGAAATATTTTTCAAGAGGAAAATGTCAAAGATGCTTACTACTTAAAGTTGGAATTCTATTCTAGTGATGGCGAATCATGGTTCCAAATTCCAATCCGGTTTCTAAATGTGATGCAACGTGATATTGCCTGGCATTACGCTATGCTTATGAGTAATACTGAGTCATCGACTATGCGTAAAGATCGGGCACTCTATGAACGTGATATGACAATTGGCAATGTCGCCAATGTCCAAGGAGCTTTCAAGCATCTATGGAAACACTTTGATTACGAAACCTTCACCAACTCCATAGCAATACCCCAAATCTTCAGTGCGACCAAACCCGTGCCCGTCTCCGGTCCCGACCGAGGAACCGCTGTCTCTGGCGATACCGCCGGCGGAAAACGGGCTAGCATTCTCAGCAAAAAGAAGGACACAGCGATTGCTACTACCAGGAAGGACAAAGAGCAACAGAAGGCTAGAGAAGAAGCGGCCAAGACGTCATACTACGAATATGAAGCGACGGGTGAAGCTCCTCCAGACGTCGCCTATCAGGAGTGGGAAAGCGATAGCGAGTAGCCAAGCCATAGCGAGTAGCCAGGCGAGGTCGAGTCTGTGCGATCGGGGCGAGTTTCGGTGCTACCCATCGAAGCCGTGTAAATAGATAGACGTAGGTAGATAACGTGCAGATGTGGGCGGGGTGTTCACTGGAGCATGGACAGGCAAGAGCGCCGATCTCGGTAGACAGACAAGACCGCAGAATAGAAAAAAGATCTTTTTGTAGCACAGGTCGCTTCAGCGCCACTGCTCCAGCACCACTGCTTCGGCATCGCCATTGATCCAGCGCCGGTCAAGAATGCTAATGTCTAGTGGCTCATCAGAGAAGGAGGAAGATGTGTACGTGGAGTCAGAATATGTGTTGACAGCCCCAACAGACAACCAGACTTGGATGGACTGGTTTATTGGCTGCAATCCGTTTGCGGGACGGCCGGCAGTGGAGGGTCAGAAGGATGAAGGCGGTGGTGTCATGGACGAGGATGACCAGCGAGAGCGCATGATCCGGAAGTTCCGTCCAGAGGTGCACGAGGCTCTGCAGGTCTTGCGAGACGTTCCGAAGCGCCTGCGACCGCGCACGACGTTTACAACACCGTACCGACCGGTGGCAGGGAAGCGCCAGATCTCCTTGCTAACTGGTGAGTTGGACGTTGATAAGATCTTCACTAAAGTCATTTTGGCAGTTCCGTTCAATGCTAACCTCAACATTGCTTATGCCTTGTTCTGGGGTCTTACTGCTCTTAAAGGTTATGAATTCGAACACCGTAGTCTGGTCGAAAGTCGGGTTGCAGTACTCAAATTTGAAGGGACAAGAACAAACCGAGAACCGGGAGAGGAAACTAGTTCAGGAGACAAGAACGGATCGGCCACAAAGGAAAGCTTGAGTATGCTCGCTTCCATGCACCCCACCCTCAGACTATACAAACTGATTCGGTCAGTTGTGGTTAAACATGTTGACGACTGTGTGGGAGACCTCACCGATATCCTCTCTGCTGAAGAGGCAACCGAGTTCCACTTCGTACTTCTTAGCAGCAGCACAACCACCGTTCTCGTGGCCGTAGATGTAGATAAAAGATGCTCTGTATTTGACGCCGGTTCCGTATCACCCACACAAAAGGCCGTCAAATACAGTCTAGGTGGAACACCACTCAGAACTCCATGGGCGGACCGATATAAGATTAGAGATGCCAGTGTTACCAGTTTCGAAGCGTAAACAATTAGCACACCCAACTTGGGCACCCAGCCCCGTCATAACCGATTCTTCTTTAGAGCGGATCAAGTTGTCTCTTACATTGCCAGTCTGTTCGCTCATGACCCAATAAAATCGGCTGGGCGAACATATTTGATGTGGCTTTTGAACACGCACGGAACCTATGAAGAGGCGGACGCAGAGGAGGAGACTAACACAAAGAACGAGACACGACAAGAGCACGATGAGGATGTGCGTCACACGTTCTTGAATCTTGAACGAGGCGGTCTTCATTAGCCTTCTTTCGCACCCGAGGGCGTGAAGTTGTTACACCTCACTTCCTTTTTCCGGGTGGGAATTTAGCCGTGTTCTTGCCCTTGTCCGATGGGGGTTAGACACCATTTGACAATTCAGTTTGGTTCCATCGCACCACCTGATCGAAGAATAAATGAGAACAAGGGGAACCAGGGGAACCAGGGACAAGGAACTAGGATTCGAGAAGTCGAACATGCGTGGGTCTCTCAGGCTAGCTGGGGTCGTCGCAGGTTGGTTGTATGAGACACATCCTTGCCTTTTTTTCCTCTGTGATTATATAATTTGCAGATGGTCAACCAGCATATCCAAAAGCTAATTGACGCTGAGCAGCAAGCTGATGCAATAGTGAAGAAGGCCAAGGAAAGTAAGAACTATCTCTTCGGAGGGTCTAATGAAGAATCTCCCAATGGCTTTTAAGCCCCAATGTGTGAACACACACGCGTTTGTGAACATACATATGTGCATAGTGTATTATCTTTGTCGTTAGATTGGGTGAAGAAAGTGAAGGAGGCGCAGAGTTCGGCTGCGCAGGAGTGCGAGAAATTTGGGGAGAGTGAGGAGGAGAAATTCCGGCGTGAATACGCCGAAAAGTTCGCTGCGGAAGATCCAACGAAGAACCTGGAGGAGCAGACCAAGAACGACATTGAGGAAATTAAACACCAGTACAAGCGTAACAGGGACTCTGCAGTCTCCCTTCTGCTGTCCGGCGTTGTCCGCGTGGACACCAATCCTTCCCCGGCCGACATACGGCGTCTCAAGCTTCACTACCTCAAGACGAGCGCCTGAAGCCCCCGTGCTAGTCGTTTTTGAAATGCTCTCCGCAAACTCACAGTTGCTTTGAATGGAGACCCTGATGGGAAATATCTTGGCACAAAAGTCTTCCTAATGGAAAGCCCCTCCCCCTTCCCACCGAGCTTGGTTACGAAGCCGCTTGAGTATAGAGCTTGCTCGAGCGTTAATTGAAGGTGGTTAATCTGGGCCAGTCGTGTGTGGTCCTGTTGGTCATTGTCTAATGCATAGCCTATATGCATGACAATGCGCCATCCCTCCTCCCTGCCACGGTGCTCCGGTGACCGCGTATCGGCGGGAGAGAGTTGTCACCCCGAGTGCGGCACAAGCGAAGAAGAATCCAAACTTTGGAGTACCAGGGGCTTGTGTTCTGAGTTGAATTCGGGTCTCCTCAGACACGAAGCTGAGCCCTCGCTGACTGGATTACACCTCCGCAAAAAGTCCTTCAAACCATAAAACTTCCTTGACGCAACGCAGCGAGCGACTGCCGCTGAGCCGTCCGTCAGGGTGTGTGACCCGCCGATCGCTCCCGGCTGTCGTGGATGGCGTGAACCAAGCCTCTAGACCTTGGCATCCCGTTCAGCCCTCGGGTCGCGGCCAATAGAGTTGGCGAAGCTACTGGAGGTGGAGGGCTGTCTATGGGTTCAGACCAGGACTAGGGGTGCCAGACTCCCTTGCGGGGACCGCGATCCACGGAATGAGCAGAGGAACGGGGTCGGGAGGCGAGGTCAGCTGGGGTTTGGGCGAAGCGACAGGCGGCCTGAGGGGATGCGCTCGCCGGTATCCCCGGCCGAGAGAGAGAGCTCCATTGCCGTGGGGCGCGGCGTTGAAGACTCGGCACGTATGGCTCTGCCCATGCTAGTGGATGGCGAGATGGGTTGATATAGTAATGGTCTGAAAAGTAATGGCAAAGTCTCGATAATGGCAAAGTCTCGATCGTCGAGAACACGTGGAAGAGAAGCGTTTGTTGCGAGCCTTGCCGCTTCTGCGGGATCTGCCACACCGGTTGGTTTACTCAACTGATTGGAGATCTATGGAGGCGACATTATCCAAAGACCTGCATTTAGTTCTCAGGTCGGCATATATGTTTCCCACTCCGAAGGTTGTAAATAAATCTGGTGTATGCCGATCCGGCGGAGAAAGAACCGGTATTCATAATTCCTTTACACAGAAGACACCGCAGGAGATGGCGGAGAAAGAGGCCACTGTGATGAAAAAATCATAGGATCAATCGGTACTACCTCCACACGTGCTCGTTGGTGGCGCGGACCTTTTTGTAGAAACGCAGAACGAGTGTGTGCAAACTTGTTGGGGTGAAGCTGAATTGGGGGGGGGGGGGGGGAGAGTTACCTCGATGACTGTCAACCTGGCAAGAAGGTAAACCTCCGCAAGAGACACACCCGGGCATTTAATTCCGCCCCCCGCCAATTTGTTTAAACAAGGCCGGAAACCAAGAAGGGGATGAAGTGTATCCGTGGTCGTAGTGATCGAAACGTATGGCTGGCAGGGTTATCTTTGCCGTTCATGGTCAATGGTGAGTTAGGGGACATAGTGAATATTTTGGAGCCACTTTGCGCTAGTTTGGAACCCGGCATTAAGGCTCGTTTGGGCGAAGGGTTGATTCTACTGCATGATTTGCCCGACAAGACAGTTGGCTGGATGGACCAATCGGGTGCTCTGTTGAGCCTGTCCGCTGAGGAGCTTCTTGAAGCTATTGTTTCAAACGACGCGCTGGGGACAAGATTTTGCGAGCTCATAGCCGATTGCCTGTTCGCTATCGAGGGACTTATTGAAAGAAATCCGGAATCATGTGGTATTAACCAGGAATTACGACTACGGTTACGGCACTGGACACAGCTGGCCACAAACGATTTTGGTTGGTATGATCGACATTTATCCCATGCGACACAGTACGAGGATCTCCACTTCTTTCTCGACGGCGCGTACCTCATTTCAACCACGGTTGCAAATAAACTGAGCAAGTTTGTAATTCCTGTGGTCTTCGCCAAAAATGTCTCTCTTGAAGAGAATACATCCCAAAAAGTGGCCGCTCTGATGCAAAAATCATGGAGGGCTGTCGAACAATCACTACAACAACTGCCAGCACACGCGTGTGCTGTTGTGTATCTCGAAACGGATGATGACGGACTAGTGAAGTGCACCGCAGATCCTGACGTCCCCATTGAACTGTGGAGAGCCCGCTAATCATCGCCGCGAGCCCTCCATAGCGTCTTATCGGCCGCTGTATCAAGACGCATCCATCCTTTAACCTTCTACGCCTCGCTAGACCACAAAAGATCTTGCTTATGTCCCAAATCCCGGCTTCGCCTTCCTGCCGGCCGTGGACGAGTCTATTCTGCTGGTAGCCGTGGCACTATTCTGGTGGAAGGATTGTTCGCGTTGAGGCGTCTGGTGAGAGGGGTAATAAGCTCGGATGCGGGGTCTCTAGTCCCGAGTGGAGGCTGAACTCGAGGGACAGTTTTTGGTCACGAGGTCGTTCCGAAAATTGGATCACTGGGTCGCGTGGGTTACTGGGATCCTGAACCTGGGTCGGGTGTCTGGTGCGGGCGTTTGAAGGCTTTTGGCCTTGACCATTCGATGACGGCGCATGATCTTCCAATTGGTGTGCTCGTCGTACAGTCTGGCAGTTAGTTGACGCCGTTCTCATGTGAAGGGCCACGAGCATTTCTTTTGGACCGTGGTATGCACATGCCTCCGAGAACTTGGCCGTGTCCTTGGTCGTGGTCCTTGGTCGTGTCCTTGGTCGTGTCCCTGGTCTTGGGTAGAGCTCGAGGACATCTCGACGGTAGTGTCTTACACGTTTCCAGGAAGACTCACTGAGCCGCTTCCAGTCGACAGGCTTTAGCACTTCCGCACACGGGCACCATTGCCAGCGCCACGACTGGGAAGAAGTCCCTGACAAGCCTTTCCCATTGGTTGTTCACATTTGGAACCCCGGAATGTGGCTGACACCTTCCGGAGTTATCTGAATAAACCCACACCCCAGTTCGGTGGAACCAAAAAGTAGATGTTTATTTGTTGACTAGCTTTCGCTGGGATGAGGTGTTTCCTCCGCTTCTTGCAGCTCAATGGGTTCGTTGTCTTGAACGGTCTGGTGCTTCTGTTTGCGCTGCTCCTTGGATTCGCCGTGTCTGCCACTTTTATGCTCTTGTCTGCCACTTTTATGCACATGCCGAACGTTACTCTCCTGTCCAGCAGCTTGCTCCTGCAGAACAGCGGGTTCGTGTCTGAGTCCGTGCACCGGCGACTCTTTACCCAAAGCCACACCGGATTCTTGTCCGGCACCATATTCTTGCCTGACACCATATTCTTGCCTGACACCATATTCTTGTCTGCGCTCCTGACGAACGCTTTGTTCCTGTCTGACCCCTTGTTCATGTCTAATAACGCCTTGTTCATGTCTTAGATTACGTTCTTGTCTAAAGTTTCCCGAAACTATAGTAGCAGCCTGAGAAGGCCTCGTGGGCATTTCAAGGGCAACAGGAATATAGGGAACATCGCTTGCAATGGGAATAATGCCGTTCCGTTGGAGTAATCTGCAATGATCAAAGTATCTTCGGGAAGAGTGCAATCGGTAGCGAGCACAACCGGTACGGAGTGGTGGGGGGGTCCGATAGACAGGAGGAGATTTTAACATGAAAGTGTGTGCTTTTCGCACTCGGGTGTGTGCGTGGGTGTGAAAGTGTTGGTTACAGTCCGTCGAGTTCTTGGGAAGAGAGGTTGGGGTTGGCCTGTTTGAGGAGAGCGTTGAAGTGGGCGACCGGGATATCGACGATTTTGTGTTCATCGGTCTTCTTGGTCGCTATGAGCTGGCGTGCAACAGGTCTTGGGACCATAACGTCGACGGGGACGAGGTAGGGGTTGAATTCTCTCATTTCCACTTCCACTGAATGGGTTTCGCTTTCAGTAATGATAGGGTACATGGACTGGGCCACGATACATGGTTGTTCTTTTTCAATGAATTTAGGCACGACTATCTTGTTCTCGACGACGTAGGGTTTGCTAACTTCAATGACTTCACCCGGGACCTCGACAGTTTGTTCTACAATGCGTGTCTCCACTTTAGGCACGTAGCGGATAACTTCACGCGGTACATCAACTACGCGTTTGACTGGCACCTCCTTAATGACTTCTTGATACTGAGGCACTTCTACCGTCCGGTCCACCCACTGGATCTGCGGCACCTCCACTATACGGTCAACCCATTGCGTCTCGTAACGCGGCACGTGCTTCTCCACCTCCACAATCTCACGTTTCGGCACGCGCCGCACCACTTCCTCGACCACCGGCACTTCGATGTATCGCACGCGATCTTGCTCCGGCTGCGTGCCAATCACCTCCTCCCGGATCACCGTAGACGAAATCAGCCGCTCAGAGGTACTAGCACCTCGGACGGGCTGGGGAGAACCCCGATACGAATTAGCAGCTGCAAGCTGATTGCCTGAAGAATTGGGATAGGAAGAATTAGGAAACGGGCTTCCTGAAGGGGAAAAGCCGCCAGAAGGGAACGGACTTCCGCCAGCATTGCTCGGACCACCAGCATTGCTAGGACCACCAGCACTCCCGTCAGGCAAGGGATGTCCAGAACCATTGTAGTAAGGGGGACGACCCCCCGTCTTGCCTTGACCACCGCTGTTACCTTGGTTACCACCCGGACCGTGGTTACCACCCGGACCTTGGTTACCACCCGGGCCTTGGTTGCCACTCGGGCCTTGGTTGCCACTCGGACCCTGGTAACCACCTGGACCTTGGTAGCCACCTGGACCTCCGGAAGCGCCGCCGTAGTAGGCGGCGTTCGAGCTTGGTCCCAGAATCGGAGACGTCACTCCCCAAGGACGAAAGTCCGGCGAAACGTTCGGGCTCAAATGTCGGCTGCTGAACTCACCAGGGCGACGGGGGCTCGGGCCCAAAGGCAGGCGCATTCCATTCTGCACCAACCGCGGGGTCCGGAGCAGGCTATTCACAGTTGGCGACGCAGGCACCGTCGTAGTAATTGTTTCACTCATCTCAAAAAAACTAACCAGATCTATTTTCGACCCTTGCCGACATGAAACCCACCAACCAGATATCGCAGCACTCACGCAAATGAACGCGTAGACAAACACACGTGCCAGCACGCAGTCTACACACATGCGAACAGTAATTGGTCACAAGTAAACGTTAACACTCTCTCAGGTATGCTGACCAGTCACGTATGTTGAGACCGGAGAATTCAATGTGACGTTCAAACACGTGAAGTGCCCTACGCGACCGTGACTCGGCAATGAGGACTCGGTCAGTACCACGTGTTGGGTGCTGGGTACGGATGTATGTCCTATCCTGACAGAGTCCTGCCTGACAGAGTTGACGGAGTCCTGCCTGTAAGAGTTGACAGAGTCCTGCCTGACCTGAGGCGCGTGTTGTGAGTTGGCGCGCTGGCGGCAGGAGGTTTGCAGTTGGCTGGTTAGCAGTTGGATCGTTAGGGGTTGGCTGTTTAGGGGAGCAAAGTGTTTGGCAGTTGGCGAAGTGTTTGGCAGTAAGCGGGTTGCTTGGCGAAAAAAACTTAGTTGCCCCATCTTCTGCGGACGTCGTTGTTGTCGATGAATTCGGGAGCGATGACCCTGCAGAAGGTTTCGAGCTGGGCTTTATGTTCGGTCCTGACGTCGGTGAGGGCGACAGCGGTACAGGTCTTTTGGTGGACGAGTGCGCCGAGTCGTTGTTTGCCCTTGATGATGCAGTAAGGTACATTCATCTTGCGACAGAGAGCGGGGAGCCAGCAGACAAGTTCCACCGGGTCTACATCGTGGGGGATAACGACAAGTTGGGCCTTCTTGTTTTCGATGGCCTTGGTTACGTCGTCGAGTCCCCAGACGAGGCGCTCGGTTTTCTTGGACTTAGGAGCTTCACCAGCGGCACGGGCCTCGGCTTCCTTGGCAAGGCGTTCCTTCTTCTGCGCAGCAGACTCAGGACGGTAGGCAGAGAGCAGGCGGAGAGCCTCGGTGGCCTGAGAACGGTTGGCAGTGTGGCGGAACTGGTTGATGGCAGGCGGGACCTTGAGCTTCGTCAAAAGAATGGCGCGCTTGCGCTGGACCTGGATGTACTTCGGCCACCGGACGACACGCGTCAGGTCTGCCTTGGTACGGGGTCGCCCGTTCACGCTCACCTTCTTCGGCGTCGCCTCAATGAGCGGGTGTCTAGCTGCCTTCGTCGGTGCCATCGCTTCTTAAATTTGGAAGCCGAAAAAAAGGTAGACAGGAACAAACGGGGCACAAAAAAGCTGGGCGAAAAGAAATTTAGGAGGTTCGACCCATGGTCTTCACGAAGGTTATCAAGACGCCCGCCTACTACTCGCGCTTCCAAGTGAAGTACCGTCGCCGTCGTGAGGGACGCACTGACTATCAGGCTCGCCGCAACATGATTCGTCAGGAGCTATGCAAGTACAACACCCCCAAGTACCGCTTCGTTGTGCGTTTTACTAACCGTAAAGTCATCTGTCAGATTGTCTACGCCACCGTCTGCGGCGACAAGGTCATTGCTTGTGCTGACTCCACGGAACTCGCTCGCTACGGCATGCCCGTTGGACTTACCAACTACGCCGCGGCTTACGCCACGGGTCTGCTTTGCGCCCGTCGCGTCCTCCAGAGCCTGAAGCTCAATGAAGTCTGCGTGGGCCAGACCCAGGCTGACGGCAAGGAGTATCACATTGAGGACGAGGACACGGAACGCAGTGCTTTCAAGTGTGTGCTCGACATCGGCCTGGTGCGCACTACGACCGGAAACCGTGTGTTCGGAGCCCTCAAGGGTGCCGTGGACGGCGGACTGTACATCCCACACTCGTGCAAGCGCTTCCCCGGCTACTCACGCGGTGAGAATGGTGCTGACGATAGCTACGACGCCGAGGTCCATCGCAAGCGCATCTTTGGTGTCCACGTCGCTGAGTACATGAAGATGGTCCAGGAGGAGGACCCCGAGGAGTTCGCCTCTAAGTTCGCCGCCTACGTTAAGGCCGGCATCCAGGCGGACCAAATCGAGGAACTCTACAAGAAGGTCCATGACGGAATCCGCGCCAACCCCGAGCGACCCAAGACCGAGAAGAAATCCTTCCCCAAGACCGTCCGCGAGGGCAACTACCTCAAAACCGTCGGAAAGGACGGCTCTGAAGTCAAGTACTGGAGACCCTTAAAGCTCACCAAGGAACAACGAGCCAGTCGCGTGCAGGCCAAACTTGCAGAAATTGCTCGAGTTGCTGCTGCAGCCCTCGAGGAAGAGTAAACCAGACAACACCCAACCTCCTGAGAGGGCTTCCCAAAGCGTTTTTACGTAGAACAGCTCTTCAACCCGTTATCTGGAACGCTCCAAGGAGGTCGCTCGAACCCACGGCAACTACACGCAGCCTGCACTTATACTTAACGCTGCCTCCAGTTATGGCCAATTATACGCCGGGCAATGTCTCAGGTGCACTGCTTCGCCGCACTACTACACTGTACCGCTTTGCTGCACTACTTCACTTAAAATGTACCGCTTTGCTGCACTACTTAAAATGTACCGCTTTGCTGCACTACTTAAAATGTACCGCTTTGCTGCACTACTTCACTGTATCGATTTGTATCACTACGGGTTGCACTACTCATTATAACTACTTCGTTGTACCACGTCGTTGTAGGACCAAGTTGCGCCGAGCCACAGCCGCTCATGACCTCGGGGCCCAGGGGGGAACACACTAAGCGTTGTGAGGGGCTGTGTGTAAGGCGCAACTGCCTCGTAAGGAATGCGCACGGAGGCGGCCCACGGTGGGGAGGGTCCACACGGCAGCGGTGGGGGCCACGGGGGGAGCCGGTTGTGGCGGTCCGCATGGCGGTGGGGAGCCGGTGGTGGCGGTCCACATGGCGGTGGGGAGCCGGTGGTGGCGGTCCGCATGACGGTGGGGAGCCCACGGTGGGCAACTCGTGGTGGGGAGCCCACGGTGGGGTCGCGAGAAGTAGAGAAGGAGGTAGAGAACAAGATTTTTTAAGCAAGGAACCTCGGTGGGAAAGCAACCTGGATAAGGCTGCGCCAGGGGGAAAAGTTTGAGGTTAAATTTTGGTGATGTCGTTATCGGGAGTCTTTAGAGATCCTGAGTTGGGTGATGACACGGAATTGAAATGGGCGTTGGCATGGGGAGTGATGAGAGATTATCAGCGGCAGGAAAGAGAGGCACTTCGGGAGCGCCAAGAGAAAGCAGCTTTGGCTGAGAGGGAAATGAAACAAACTCAGATCCAGAGCCTGCGGCAAGGCGAGTACCAGACTACCAGACAGCGAGAGAGGGTCCATTCCGTGAGGGAACGTGAGGAGGAGTGGGTTCATGACAAATACTTCGAGCAATTTTTAAATGAGACTGGAGGAAGCGAATAATCAACGTTCCCAGCTCATCAATGCATACAAAACTGTAAGCAATGCGTTACCTCTAACACTTGCCAATCTCACACTCATACGTGCCGTGGTGTCACACTCATCCGTGGTGTCACACTCACTGTTGTATCACGTGTGTTTGTCTGGACACGTATGTATGTTGAGGGCATTGACCCCGTGCACGTGAACATTACTTGTGTCTGAACAGGAAGCACTTGTGTCTGGCACTGCATTAGAATTCTGGGGTCTGCAATTCTGGTTCGCATTAGGCTGTGAGGAATATTGAGAAGGAGTTGAAGAAGAAAAGATTGCCAGTGAAGCGACGAGAGGAGCTCGAGGCTGAACTTGAGCAACTGGAGGTGGACCACAAGGAAGAGCTGCAGGCATTTGACGAAGAACACGGTATAGAAAACAAGAAGAAGGAGGTGGATGAGCCGCCCCCGAAAGAGGAGGAGGAGGAGCCGAAAGATCTGCGAGTGCGCAATTGGGGTTCATTGAGCAAGAAGGAATTGGAAGAGTCATGCGCCGCCAGAGGGTTATCTAAGAAGGGTACCAAAGAACAGCTCATCTCGAGACTACAGGTTTGGAGCTCGGGTAAATCGAATGATGCCAGGGAACCCGGCACCATTGACTATGAGACTTTCCAGCCAGTCCAAATCCAGCTGTCAGGCCGTAAGATATACACGTCTCTGAGCAGTTGCTGTGCTGGGGGGAACGGTAGGAACGATTGGGCGAATGTGAAAATAATTGAACACGTGTGCTATTCTTGAGGCGGCCGGTGTTGGCGGCGGGTGCTGGCGGCCGGTGTTGGCGGCGGGTGTTGGAGGCCGGTGTTGGAGGCCGGTGTTGGAGATTTGATATCGTTGTTTTTAGCGAGCAAGAAGGATGAATATCGCGAGAAGCGGAAAAAGCTGTGGAAGCGTCGCGAACAAGCGCCTCTTCGCGAAGGCCCCCGGCCGGGTGACGAGGGCGAAGAGTCCGGTTCGGATGAAGAAGGATCTGACGCGGGAGCGAAGCTTGTGCGGAAGGACCGTCCGGCGTCTTCAGCGTCGGAAGACGAGGAGGAGAGGAAGGTTCGTGACTTAGCCGAGCGGCAAGCGAAGCGCCGTGCCGTAGTTAACACCGTGCTGGGACGCATCCTGGCCAAGTACTCGGAAGGAGTGGTCATTGACGACATACCAGAAAAACTTAAGGAATTCAAGGTCATAAACTTCTCCCCCGAACTACTCGGTTACAAGTCGCTCGAAGAATGGATCAACAGCCAACCGGCCACCCTTCTGAGGTACAAACGATCTACTCGGCTCGTCAAACCCGTGGCCGGGGTCATGCCCAGTAGCGACTCAGATTCAGACCACTCAAACGACGACGACCACTCAAACGACGACGAGTCAGACTCCGACTCCGAATAATTCCAGTGTTTTAGTTTTCTCGAACCTGCAAGCGGGATTAGTCCCCTCGAACCTGCAAGCGGGATTAGTCCCCTCGAACCTGCAAGCGGGATTCCCTCTAACCTGCAAGCGGGATTTTCTTTAACCTGTAAGTGGGATTTATTCTACCGGGATATATTCCACCAGATTTATTCGGTGGTCTCTGCAGGTAAACATAGTCCAAATGGGGACAATCCCCATTTGGACCAGTTCCACAATCCAGCCCAGTCTTCTGCTTGGGTCCAGCTCTTCAATGAGGGGTAGCGCCAGACCTTGCCCACAACGTCCGTCATGGCTACGCAGCCGTGGTACCGAGAATCCAAAGAGTTGCGGGAGTTGTCCCCTTCAAGCCAAAGGTAATCCTTCGGGATATACAAGCCCTTGTAGCTGCATGGACCAATGGCTGCAATGCGTTTGCACAACCAACGATCCTGTATGCCCCCATACACCACCACATCACCGAGGCAAAGACCTCCCAACAACTTCCAGGTCCACTTGTCAATCAAGATCTTGGACCCCTCTGGCACTGTCACCCCCATAGAGGGGCCACGTGTCTACAGCACACACGGTGGCCCTGCCTGTGCCGATCCGTGTGGTCTGGGCAAGGGAGGGCAGCCTGTGATCTTGGTAGTGTGTTTTGCTCACCACGGCAGTCTCGAAAAATCTTCGCATCCAGCGCATTCTTTTTAAAAAGATAAGACCGTCTAGGTGCGGTGCATCCTACGGAGATGGCCGAAGACCGATCTTGCTGTGTCTCAATACGGGTCCAGAGCGGGGAATCCCGTCCAGAGCGGGGAATCCCGTCCAGAGCGGGCAATCCCGTCCTCCTTGTCCCGAGTCCCTGGTGTCAAATCCGGGCCTCAATATTGGCGAAACTGCAACACAGCTGGACCAAGCCCGATACATCCATTGCGTAGTCCATCCATGGCTTGGCCCATCCACTGCTTGGTCACTCGTCAAAGTCGTTCCCTCCGTCGTCCTGGAATTCGTCCTCTCGGTCTTCTTCACCGTAGTGGTCGGCCCCGTAGTCGTCACCTCCAAAGTCCTCCTCTTCCTCTGCATTCTCTTCTTCGTCAAACACCCCGTCACCTCTTGCAGTTTCTTCTTCTGCGCCACCTTTCGACTCCAGCAAAGCCCAATTAATCGATTTCTTGCTAGCTCCCAATTTTTGTAAACTCGGATTCAGTGCTGCGCCCAGCAGTTCCGCTGGAAAGTACTCTGGACCAACCCCCTCGACGATGAGTCGACGCTGCGCATCCGGGTCTTTAAATCCCACCTCGAACTGGTTCTCGTAACTATTCACGAGCTTCTGTTCTACATGTTCTCTCGTATAGTCCTCCGATTCATTCGCATACCGCTTGAGCAGCCTATTGAACACTATCAACTCCTTCTCTACTTCAGTCAGGGCCGGGGTCAACTCGCAATTGGGATTATAGGGGTAAGTGTCTATGGGCTTAAAGGGGACCTCTAGAACACAAACAGTATGTCTGGGCCCGCCCGCCTGTGAAACGAGGCAGTGATATTACTGGTGAGACTTAGCCCGCGCAGGTGCCAATGATCTTACTTTTGAAGCTAATTGCTGTGAACCCTCCACGTCCTCGACCTCGCCCCCTTCCTCGCATGTTTTATTTTACCCCGACCTAATTTGAAGCAACGAACTCACCCTTGCTTGACGAATTTATTTGGCCCTGTACTTATTCTGAAGCAACCCGCGCGGTGCACACGCGTGTGCTGATGGAACAAGCTTTGCTGGATCTGCAAATCGCTGTGCACCGGCTACACCACAGCCACGGCCAACTGGCGCACTTTGCCTCGGAGGCCCTGCCTGATGCCAGGTTTCCATTTTATGGCAACATAACACCCCATGTTGACAACGTTGATCGCAGGACTATCCTGTTCCTTTCTCAAATCCGTGACTCGGCCGAGAAGTCCGATAAGCAGGGCGGCGCATTCGTGCAGCTCTCTGGCAGCAATGTTGATAATGAACAAATAGATCAAAGCATATACGATTCACAACCATTAAGAACCCCTACTGGCGAACAAATCGTAAGCAGTCCTCCCATCTTTCGACCTGCTTCTGTATATTAGTACGTAGGTGCCCAAGTCCGGGGCACAGAATTCTCATTGCCGCCACCGCTCTACGACCCTCTTGACTTCCTGGCGCCCCCAGACGACAGCGAGATTGTGCAAATCGAGGTACGCTGGATTTCCAATGGTGGAAATACTTATAAATGCCAATTGTATACACCTTGCTCTATTGTAGAATTATGCAAATCAACTGCTCGATAAGCTACAGACGGGGTAAAGGTCTCTCCGAAAAGAACATCACTCTAGAGATGTGATACAGAGGAAGTCCATCAAAGCCACCGTTTCATCGACATGCTCAGCAATCAGCTCCCCCGAATACATCCAACCCAGAACTGCTTCCACACAGGAAGCGGGCCACTCCGTCAGGTCAATAGATGTACACTCTGGCTCCTCCGACAATAAATGGAACAAATACGGACATCGAGCCAACAGAATACACTTATGGGCCAAGATCGACCGGCTTCTCGTGGCTCTAAAAAACATCGGTATTTGTTCCGGTTCTGTCTCTGGGTGGGGGTGGCGGTGGGGGAGGGGGTGGGGGAGAGTAATATTAACGGCAGAGATAACAGTAGTGACCGGGCTTACATGACAACATCAGCAAACTGTGGCAGCTTAAACAGGACGCCGATGGCTCTCGCTAGCCCTGTTCCGCTGGTTAGTTGGTCCAAATTCAGAAGGAACACGTCGCCTAGCCAATGGTACCCGTTGAACCCTCCGACCAGCAGCAAGTAGGGTTGGCCGTTCACGGTTACTACGGCCAGACTGTGCTTTTGCCTCAGCCCCGGATGGTGGAGGTCGGCTGAGGGGAGCTCGGCGCCGCTGCCCGAGTCAGCCGACCAGGGGCCGTTTCCGCAGCTCTCGTCCTGGCCGCAAGATTCTTTTCCGGCTAGCTCCACGTCCGTCTCGCGCCCAGCGCCGTACCTAGTCCCGTCCCTAGTCCCATCCCCGTAAGCAGTCCATCTCTCAGAGACGAAGTGGTACGAAAACAGCCTGCCACGACTCTCGGCCGAGCCGCCGGCCCCAAGGAGGCCTCCGAACACAAACAGTCGTGCGTTATGGTAAGCTACCGCACACCCGTGTGGGAAGTCCCGGCGTCCTTCTGGCCCCTGAGCCGAACAAGCGCCCTGAGGCGCCGCCCACACGGGCCTGAGACTCGAACGCTCGACTTTCCGGTTCGGATCCTCGAGCCTCCCACTCTCGGAACCAGGGAACTTCCAAACAATCCGGCGGAAGTCGAAATAGCCGTTGGCCGCACACGCCTCCGTCCCCCCCGCCGTCTCGTAGCCTCGCCCACCGCGCGATACACTCCCCCCGAAGACGTACATCCTCGAGTCAACCGCAACGGCCGCGTGGACGTGTCTACCGGGCGGCACGAAGCCGTTGGACGGGACTACCCGCGTCCATGCCGCCTCGGGCCGGACAGCCTCCGACGGGTCAGCCTCCGACGGGTCAGCCTCCGACGGGGCAGCCTCCCACGGGGCAGGCTCCCGACGGAGTCTCCCCGACGTGGTCCCTATGGTGACAGGCCAGGCATCCGCGGGAAAGGTCCAGAGGTCGTCGAGTGTCCGCGTCCCGTCGTATCCGCCGTACAGCGCGAGCTTCTCGAGGATTGGTATGTACACCAGGCTGTGGCATGCCCGCGGCTGTTCCGGGGCCGGTAAGCGGACCCAATGGACTTCGGGAGGGGTACTTGGTTTCGGCCCCCGGACGGCTGCAATGACCGCGTTGAGGTCGACTGAGTAGAAGTCGGCCAGCCAGTGGTGCCCGTCGTGCCCGCCGTGGACGTAGAGGACACCGTGGGCTGTCGCACACGTGTGCTACAAGACAGTGCTATGCGGAGAAACGCTCACGTTGTTTCTGGGAGTCGGGGGTGCCGTGGTCGTGGCGGGGACCAGCGTCATGGCCGTGCGCCTCCGCAGGTCCAATAGGACCAAGTCGTTCAACGCCGCCCGGCCGTTCCAGCCGCCGAACAGCACCGCCAGCCCCTCGCCCAGACTCACGCACGTATGCGCCGCTCGCGGCTCCACCGAGACCTGCGACTTGAGCCAACCCGCCATGCGCCACTCAACGCCTTGCACCCCGTTGGCACACACTTTGCGGATACACAGCCACACGGCGGAGGCTGGGGGGTGTGTGTGCCATCGGGGGGCAAAACCCGAGGTGGCCGTAGCGACCAGGGAACTTAATGACCAGGGGACGTAGTGACCAAGAATCGTGACCAAGGAAACGGATTGACTGAGGGAACAAACCTGGGTGAGGGAACAAACCTGTGTGAGGGAACGGACCGACTAAGGAAAATATTTATATGTTGCGGGTGGGATTGCAAGGGTGCGTGCACGGCGACCTGAGCCGGTGTTACGGAGCGTTGGGGGCCTCCGAGGTGGACTGTGTGGTGTGGTCTGGCGACGTGCAGTGTTTGCGGAGTGAAGCGGACTTCAGTTCCTTGGCATGTCCGGACAAGTACAAGGCGCTTAAGGATTTCCAGGCGTACTACCAGCTCCGGAAAGCTGCGCCGGTGCTGACTGTGTTCGTGGGAGGGAATCACGAGAACAGTAACCTGCTGAATGCGCTTCCTTACGGCGGCTGGGTGGCCCCGAACATTTACTACATGGGCCGATCGGGTTGCGTGTCCATCCGCAAGGGTGCTGCCTCCGGTAGGGATGGCGCTCAGTCGTGTGGCGGTGAGACGCTCCTCCGTTTGGCAGGGCTTAGTGGCATATTTGACGGCCGGGACTATAACAGGGGGTACTTTGAGAAAGAGCCCTTTGACTGGAATACTGTGCGCAGCGTCTACCACGTTAGAGAACATGACCTTGTTAAGCTGTCCATGCTATCACAGGCCGACTTGGTCCTAACCCACGACTGGCCGGCAGATCTAGTCACCCGGCCAGAAGACAGAAGTAGATTGCTCCAGAGGAAACCGTTCTTCCAAAAGGATCTGGACGCCCACCGATTAGGCAACCCTCACCTGCACCGGCTACTGGCCCTGCAGCCCGCAGTATGGGCTGCGGCTCACCTACATGTCAATTTCAGCTGCCCTTACGGCAACTCACAATTCATCTCCCACGATAAGCCCAAAAAACTTGTGGCCACATCCATCTGGAACACCACTGAAGGCCTAGTCAGTACGCCTAACGGACCCCTCAAGGTCAGACCACTAGGCCTCAGTTCACGCCCTCAGCGATATGTCGGCTCGGGACATGCAGATCCAGGCTACGCAGGCCCCGAATATGCAGGCCAAGGACACATGAACCAGCCGGCTACAAATTCCCAGTCTGGTATAAACCGACGACACGAAATCCCTCCTTGGTATCACCAGAAAGATGATAATCAAAATGACCGGGACAAGAAACGACAACGGACCACCCGTCCATCATACAATGTCAATGACACCCGAATTAATGATACCCGTATTAATGACGCCCTTCCCAATAATCAATGTGCCATCCTCATTGACCTTGAATGGTTCGTTATCCAGCGACGGACAGTTCCTATAACCCATATGCACCGGTCGCCTGCACCGGCCTTGGATCCCGATAGTCTAGCCTCTCCGTAAGCGAACACCACGCAGCAAACGGTACTCACAGTCGAGATCGCATTTCGACGCTGCTCTTGAGCCTGTTCACTCGTCATGTTTGCTTTTGTTAGTGTAACCCGGTATGAGCTCGAGCCAATCATCAACGCCATTTCGACGAAGATCCGCCCCTGCTGGACGATAAATGATATCTTCAACCCGAGTGAAAACATGGTTCCTTTAGCATCACTTCGCTCGTTCACCATCCCATACCCGCAGTTCGATCACACGCGACCGCATGAACAGACTGCGTGGTGGTTAAGTATATTCATGGTTGATGTTGCAACCCCGACGGTATCATCTTCGGGGATCGAAAGTCCAGTAGAGAAACTCCCACAGATTAAACGATCGCCTCCATCATTTTTAGAGCCCGTCTCTTGTAGCGGACTGCGAAATCCGCTCTTGGACGAGGAAGAAAGTCTCTCTCTCGATGAACAATAAATGCCGCACACGTGTGTGCGCCGATAGCAAATAGAGCGGAGTGGCCGAAAAGGGCCGAAAGGGCACAATAAGATTCAGTGAGCCATCTCCCAAAAAACTTTGCGAGTCAACCCATGCAGAGATAAGTCAAGTTAAGCGGAATGATAAGTAGACGCGCATCTCTCGCAACGGCGCGAAACAGGATATTGGAAAAGGGCTGCCCAAATAGTTCACTCACTATTTCCACGCCGTATCGGCGGCTAAGGACGCCACAAACCGATAAGGTCTCTGAAACCCCGTATCCAATCAAGTTTCCTCTACTGGCATACATTGACACCCACTTCGGGAAAGAGGACGTTCAAATTAGGTTAAGCGCAAGAAGGATAACTTCATACGATCGCCAGCAGGAAATTATTTCTCGTGTAGGTTTGGAGGTGTGACTCACTAATGACTAGCGCTTCTTTAGCTTGATATTGTGGAGAGGATTTATGAGATTAGGAGGCCAGACAAAGGACATCGGATACTGGTGGATGAGTTGCGCCGTCAGTACGCTTTGGCAGTGATGTTGGGCAGCGAAGACATGGATGCGTTGCAGCATGCGTTATTGACCCAGCTGTCCGAGGAAAATGTATTGGCAATTGCCGATGGTTCTTGGGACACTAGGTTAGGGCCTGACGGTCAACTGACGACTACGTGTGAAGTTAAGCCAAGTCTATTTGTTAAGTTAAGTGATAAGCTGAGTGAGGCGTTGGTGCCTCTTGCTGCCCAGGAGGATATAAGATCGCCGGCACGTTCTCCCGTGAATCAGGCGAGGTCTCTTGCGAACAAGAATTTGTCACCGGTGAACAAAAGTGGTTTGTGGAATACATTGGAGACGGCTGCACCTGTGAGTACGACTCCCGGAGCGGAGTTGTCTACTCCGCAAAAGAGTTCGGTGCGAAAGTTGCCGACGCCGATCGGTTACACGCCTCTAAATGTAATAAAGCGGAATCATTTGAACCGTATCCGGATCATGAAGTTGAACGCGAAGCTAGAGGGCGAGAACCCGGAGCTGCAGGAAGCCGTGCGGACGCGTCTAAGCATTATTTCGGAAGAGGGCGACACGGAGCCATCCCCAGCGGGACCGCTGCACAGCGCCATGGCCCACGTCGTTTACGACCAAGCCGTGGCTGGTCGGGCCGTCTTGGACCGAGCCGTGCCCGGTCCCAGGAAGCGGCAGTCGGCGGAGGCTCAGGACGCGGGGAGCGCGTCGAAGAAGGCGCGGCGGTCGCTGGCTGCCGTGGCGAGTCCGGTGGTGCATTCCAGCCCCACGGACGGCTCGGCCGCCCGCGACTGGAGCGCCATCGTGCGCATCGGTAGCACGCCCGACACGACTGAAGTGACGCGTCGGTCATCCCCGCGCGTCCTGGCAACCCAGACGCACGACGTGACCCCGGTTCGCGAATCAGCTCGACCGCGCCGCCTCTGCTCTCTTGGTCTCCGCTTCTCCGCCGACAAGGTCGAACGCGTCGTCCCCGCAGCCGTCGCGCGCCGCTTCTCCGAACAGGCACCCAGACTCCTCACCGAACTCCTCCACGCCGACTCCTCCGACTCTTCCGACGTCTTCCGCTCAAGAGAGAACTCCCCGCCGACCCACAATGAGGAGGGACGCACGGCCGAAGGACAACCGACGGAGGGACAACCGACGGAGGGACCACCGAAGGATGAGGTGTTCAGGACGCGGCTAGGCCCTACGGCCAAGACGGACCGGCATGCACAAGCGCGGAAGCTGGCTCGAAAGCCGGCAGCCGCAGAACCGCCACGACCAGTCTCAGGTGCGCCTCCCCACTCGGCCGCAAGTGACCCAGATCCGACTGAGATTGTCTCGGCTGCCGCAGGTACCGCTGCGACGGACATGGCCCCGGCGCCCAGTGTCCGGTTCGCGAACGCGTCCTTGTTGGACTTGGACATGGGAAAGAACCGTGGGTCAGCGGGTATCTTCGCGGCGCGGACCGGCGGACGCACGACCAACCCGTACCGCAGCCGGGCGTCGCTGACGGCGAAGATGAAGCGGACCCGCGAACGTCGCGTACTGCGTGCGCAGCAGAACCAGGAGCTCTACGCCGAGACGGGCGCGATTCGGCAACAGACGCGGCGTGAGCGCCGATACGAGGGCTACCGCGCCCAGGCAGAGACGCGCTACCTCGCCAGCACTGCTGACGGCGACGGGGCCGAGGACCGGCTCGCGCGGGTCATCGAGGATCGCGCCGACTTTGCCCGAGAACTGGCGGAGGAGCAGGGGGAGGAGGATGGGTCACCGTTCCGGCTCCCTTTCGAGCGGTTGTTGCGGGCGTTGTACGGCTTCGCGAATTTCCGGCCGTACCAGGAGCAGGCGTTGGCGCACGTGGTGCGTTCCCGGCGACCGTTGTTGTTGTGTATGAGGACGGGTGCGGGCAAGTCGTTGGTGTTCTTTCTGGCGGGTGCTTACTTGGCGCTGCAGCAGGGTGCTATGGCGGCTATGGTACTCCCGACAAAGGCGTTGGTCAACGACCAGGTGGCGGCGGCGACGCGTGTGCTCGGTGCCCGGTTCACTGTGGCCGCGCTGCACAGCGGGCTCGACCCGCAGTCGTACGCGGCCACCTTCAAGGCGCTGCGCGGAGGCTTGCTCGACTTCCTCTTCACCACGCCCGAACAGTTCACCTCCCTCTCCCTCGCTGCGGCGCTCCGTCAAGCCTCCCGGCCACTAGGTCTCCTCTGCCTCGACGAGGCGCACTGCATGTCCGAGTGGTCCCACTCCTTCCGCCCCGCCTACCAACTCGTCGTGCCCGCCTGCCGCAAACATTTCCGAGAAGCCAAAATGCTCCTCATGACCGCCACCGTCACCAAAGAAACTCACGACTCCATTGCCCAAATCGTCACCTACCGGGAGGCCCGGACGGAGGAGACTAGCACGGAGGAGACCAGCACGGAGGAGGCCAGGACGGAAGAGGTTCGGACGGAGAAGGCCCGGACGGAGGATGCCAAGACGGAAGAGGGCAGGACGGAGGAGGAGATCAGGGAGGCGGCAGGTCCAGTCGGACTCCAGTCTTTGGTGGAGCCGCGCGGGTACGAGAGGCCGGACCTGCGGCCGCAGATTCGGAAGGGGCTGAGCGAGGGACAGGCGGCGGCGTGGATCGGAGACGAGGTGCGGCGACAGCGGCGCGGGTTAGAGGCTGCGTTGGGCGGAAGCGGGACGCACTTGGTGTTTGTGTGGATGAAGCACGAGGCGGAGAGTGTGTGTCGTTCGTTTCAGGACGAGTTTCCGGACTGCCGTGTGTGTTTTTATCACTCGGGTGTGTCAGAGACGGAGAAGCAGCGGATCCTGGACCAGTTGCTGGCGGGGCGCCTGGACGTGCTCGTGGCCACGCAGGCCATGGGCCTCGGGATTGACGTGCACCATATCCGGCGCGTCTACCACCTCTGCGTGCCCGGTTCTATCGAGCAGTGGGTGCAGGAGGTCGGCCGCTGCAACCGCGACGGTGCCGAATCCGTGGTGCCCGTCTTCGGTGTCCTCAGTCACGCCCACTATTGGAAGAAGCGGCAGCGGACGGCGGCCAACGTCGTCGACGAGTTCGCCGTGCGCCGCTTCATGCGCCTCTTCGTCAACCCCGACGCCGGGTCGGCCCCAGAGAGCCGTGGTGAAGACCCAACTTGGGGTGGAGACCCGGCCCGGGGCGGAGATCCGGCCCGGGGCAGGCAGGTGGTGGTGGCCGGGGGCGACCTGCGGGAGGT